TCTAATGAACTAATTGATTGGTTTTAATTCTTAAACTTGGATTTCTTTACTGGAGTGACTTATTTTGGCTGGTGGTTTTTTTTCCCTCTTTTTATTTTTTGCTCTACTACCTGGAGGAATCCGTGTGTTCACCTGTTTGCAGTTACACATACTTGTTTGCATCACTGCAACCAAAGGTCCCCAGGTTCCGTCCCCATCTCTGTCTTCCTCAGTGCAGGACAAATGCTCTCTAGGATATCTTCCAGTAGCTTCCTCCCCAGTCTTGTCTGACCGCCGCTGTCCTTGCACTGTGAGCTCTAGTGCCGGGAGGTGGCTTGGGTGGTTCCTGCGTTCTGGTGTTATCACTGCACGTCTGTTTACCAAGTGTGTGCCTGCCTGGCTGCTCCTGAGAACCTGGAGCACAGGAGCCTTTTCTCAAACTGGCATGAGAACTGAGCAAGCAGGAGCAATGCTAGACTCAGTGTGTGTTGTGTGCAGTGTCCGGGTTTGCTGTGGGAAGTACCTTCCCAGCTCTTAGCTGGACTGTTGCTTTGTAATTATTTATTTGGCTGGAAAATTCCAGCCTTCTGAAGGCTAAACCAGATGCAGCTTTGCCAGGAATTGTATTACTTGGAAAATAATAAAACTCGTATGGCTGTACAGTCTGCAGGTGAAGCTGGATGCTGAGCATGTTGGTAGAAGTGATCTGAGTCTTTTATTAGCTATGGTTCCTAGTGCTACCATTGCCTTCCTTCACAGGCTGCTTATGTGGTGGTGAGCGGCAAGGGTTTCTCTTCAGTGGAGACTGAAAGCAATGCTGTACAGCGTGCAGGGTGTCAGGATCTAAAATAGCAAACATCTGCACAAGTAGAAGGTTGCTCATAGTCTGCAGATATTTATGCCCCACACTGCACTCAGTCCATGTGAATTGTGGTTTTTATCTGTATCTCTTGGTTTGTTGATACTTTTAACATGAGGGAAAACTATTTTGCTATTTCTCTGTCTGTTATTTTGACACTAATCAACTTTGCAGATCTTGTTTTGTTTGGTGTCTGGGTACATCACAAAAAGAGTTGCTGAAAGAGTTCAATTATAATATCAGCATCTCTGCCAAATGTATTGAGCCGTTCTGAAAAGCGACTTGTCTTTTCTGACCCAGATACACAGTTTCCAACTGTGGGAGATGCTGCCAGAAAGGCTCTTGGCAGAAGGCCAGCAAAAAAATTTACTGCAGAAAAACACAGCATATTTTCGGCAGCACCATGTGCAGTGTGACGAAAACTTACCTGTCTGTCCAATGCGAAGCAGAAGTTAAAATCAACCTGCAACTTCAAGTTGCAAGCCTCTTATTCCTATTTGTAAAAGTAACAAAAAGATAGGTTGCACCTTTTCTCACCCACTCTGTGTAAATACCAGTTCTGCTCCATTGCCTTGTGTGATGCTCCCCAGTCTGTGCTGGATGCTCACCCATTTGTTGTGAGCACCCTGCGCTGTCCTTGCTGTGCTGCTGACACAAACGTGGAGCGATCTTGGGGTGGCATGGGCTGTAAGCTGTAGTTTCCAGGAGCAGCCATTGGTAAGGGGATAGGCTGGGGGGGTGGTTTTGCTTCAGCTGGCTGCTACCTTGCTCAGGGCCTTCTAAATCTCCAGGCTTGGGATTTACCAGTCAGCTTTTACGGAGGGCAAGTACCTGCTTCTGCTTTTCACTTGCCTGCACTTGAAGGTAGGGGAGCAGGTTCGGTGCTCCTGGCTGTTTAAACACCTCCTTCCCAGGGTACAAGTGCCAGATGCAGGAATGTGCCCTATGCAAAGGCCTTGTCTGAAATTCTTTTCCTTGTTTGTCTTGTGCCAATGCATAAACTGCCTCTGTGCGGGATGGGATGTTTAATGGAAACACTGAGAGACTGTCATGGTGTTTTAGTAACATTTCTAATGTGTCAGATCCCCAGTGGCGTAAAACCACCCTGCAGACTCTGCTCGGCTCCTCCAGATCAAGAGACAGCGAGTGTTTACTCTGTTTTGTGCTTTAGGTCAACGTGATCTACAGGTAAAGTGACTGTCTTGAGTTCACCGAGGGCTCATTAGTGCTAGGAGCTTTGTCTAGAAGTTTTTTGCAGGTGTAGGTGGCAGCCCTTGCATCAGACAACCATGTGTTACGCTATTGTGTCGTTAGTCTGGGCCTCAGCTGCTGCTCCCTGAGGACGTGGGGACACGTATCCTGCTGTAACCTGCAAGTAAAATGGGGCTGTTGGATTTATGGGATTGCTGCTCGCTCCACATAATGCTTTCTGATGTGTTCAGTGCTGAGCCGTGTTCTGCTGCCTTGGTCCATATGGTTGGAGCAGATTTGATTTTTAGTTTTCCTTAATTTAATTCTGCGTGTTGTCAAACGTGCTTTGTTCTGTACATTGCGTCTGCGTTTTTGTAGTAAACTTCCTGTTTAGTCCTTTATTTAAAAAAAATCTCTGAAGTCTGGACCAAATTAGGCTTTCATTCCATTGCGTGTTTCTGTGAAATATTCTTAGGATGTCAGTGACTTGCAGGTCATTAACGTGACTTTCATGTATGTCAGCTTCAACTCAGCTTTCGGGATTTTTTTTTTTAGTTGAGTTGTTGTAATGACGGGGACTAGTGGAAAGTGAAGTCCCTTTTTATTTCAGCTGTGTATGCCCAGACCTCAGCCATTCACTGCTGAGAAAAAGGGTAGGTAGAATGGAAATCATAAATGTCTTCATGCAACTATTGCTCATCACTGAAACTTGAACCCCTCTTAAAGACAAGATGGCTATGGCCCATTTAAGGCAGAGAATTGGGATATAGTGGTGGTTTTGCTTTGTCTTTCTAGTAAAAGATTCACAGCTGTGAAACATTCCTTTTCAGCCTGTTTCAGATTTTCAAAGAACACTGAAAAGCTCTCAATACACACAGAATTGCACCCTGAGGTATGGCAGTTTTCAGAGCTCATCAGAGAGCCTGTAGACTTGCCCTCTAGACAGCAGGCTGCTCAGTAACGTACTGAAGCACCAGAATTTGCTCAGCCAGCTATCCTTGTCCATCTGCTTTCAATACACTGCACAAGCTGATAAGCAACAGCTTGCAGTAGTCTTAGGAGGGAGTCCAGGCTGGGGTGTTGCTTGGAGTCTAGAGACGTCGTGCTGGGCATATGCTAAAGTCAGCAACACATTCCAGTGCCCTTCTCTCTGCCTGGAATTGCCAAGTTACAGTTACCAGAGAAGACGGCAAACTGAAAATGTGAAATGTAGGAGTCGCAGGGAAGAACGGGGTATGTGAAGGTGGTTCTCTCTTCAAACTAAATCCCACCTGATTCGAAATAGATGATCTGGAAACATGTCTGGTGAAAGTCTCTCTAGCTTGCCATCTGCTGACTCAAAAGAATATTATTTATTATTACTACTGCTCATAGAAGAGCTAAGCAAAAAGACCTCAGGGTCTGGTCAGTTCTGGAGATGGTGCAAAGCTAGTGAGTTTGGAAGTGCTTACGACTAGCTCATAGCCCAAATAGTGCCAAAGCAGTAATCCTGCCTTGTTTATGCTCCCGGCTGACCCTGCTTGGCTTTCAGGGTCTCTTAAGGTAGGAATCCAGTCCCATTAAAGAACATCTTCCTTGATTGCTTCTAGGAAGCGATTTAGTTGAGTATTAACATAACTTGGTAGGATATATAGCCTTTGTGAGAAGAAATTAGATCCTTCAGGGTTTTTATTAGCTTGCTTTTCCCAAGCATTTTTAGTATGAGTGCATTTAACTCTCTTGGGGTTTCTTCCCTGGCAGTCTTCAGCTGCTGAAGCAGACAGGCCTCGGCATAGTGTTCTTGTCTGGCTGCTTTTTTTTTAAACTCAAATTTACATCCTAAATCCTGTGGCATGAGATACAAATAAATAATTATAAGGCACTTACTATCAAAGCTATTGGTCCTGTAAACCCACTGCATTTCTTGATGGAGAAAATCATAAAGAAGAATTTGTGGTTGCCTTTGCCCTTCCCTTGGAATGCTTAAGTCTCTATCAGATACAGTATTTTAATTATTTCCTGTTACACCTCTAAAGTTTAAACATCTACTCAACTTTCAAGTCATCTCACCTGTGTTGCTGCCAAACTTGCCTTTAATTTCTAACTAGAGAAGCAGGACTGACATAGGAGAAAAGTAAAATATTTGAGTGTGTGTGTTGAGTGTGTGTCTGCAGAAATTTACTGACAGGGCTTCCAGTTCCTTCAAGATGTTGCTGAAAAGCTGATGCAACAGTATGTGCAATGAAAGGAAAACAGTTTTCTGCAAGGACTTGCATGTTGTGCTGTGCAGTGAGCTTAGCCTTTCTTCTCTTGCACACCAACTGCTTGGTCATTCTCCCAGTCTAGTACAAGAGGGCTGCTCTTACAGGCTCTTTCAGCTGTTGTGTGCTGCAAAAAGACATACAAGGGCAGAAAAAGCAGTGCGAATTATTGCAGCTGAACGTTGTCAAAACTAGTATGCCTTCAGTTTGTTGTAATGCACTTAGTTTTTTTTAATAACAGCATACAGTTATTGCTACCTGGAGTCTTAGCTCATGTTGTACAGCAGCTGACGCACTCAGGATCAAAGGCTGCACTGGGAATTTCAGCTGATAATTACTTTTTGATAATTAAATATAGTGTAAAAATAGAAGGCTTTTCAAGTTGCTTTCATACAGAACATATTTGAGACTTTGGATTTCCCGTCTTCCTCATCAGAAACTGGGATTGCCAGTTGGCTGACAAACCGTGCTGAGGGGAGCTCTAACCGGCATGGGACAGTGGTTACATACGTGTGGGCACCTCACAGAAAGTTGCTTTCTCTAACATCTTGTATTGCTCTGAGATGAACTGTTCAGCGAGTCCTTCCCCACCATGAATCCAGCTTGCTTTATTCTGCGGTTCGATATCTTGTTCTGCACTGAGCACTTTTTGGCATTACCATGTTGTTTCTTCTGGTTTCAAGTTATTTTTTCATGTGTGTTTGTGTTTTGTGTGTTGTTTTTTTTTCCAGGTGAATTACAGAAAGTGACTCTCGGAGCATCTTGGCTTTATGAACTCTTGAGCTGTCAAGGGACTGAGAGGCTTATGAAGAGGTTCTGTCAGGCAAAACAGCGCTTAGCAAAGACACCAAGGAGGAGGGAAAAGGAGAAAGGAAGAGAAAAGCTGAAACACTAACAAACCATGGTAGGTATCTGTCATCTTCGTAGGGCTGCTTTAGTAATATTCTCTGCTGAGAATATTCTCTGCGTGGGGCCTGATAAAACAAGACTGAAGGGATATTCTGACCTTGCACTAAATGAGAGATGGTACTGCATGCTTTGAGCAAAGCAAATGAGGTTTGATATTTTGTCAGCCTTTTTAAACCAGAGAGTTGTCTTGTGAGCCTGCATTACATGAATTATTAAATATGAATGAAGGGGATGCTCATAAGGTTTTCTAATAAAACCAGCATTGGCAAGCTGTAGCAGACAGCACGAATGACCTTGAACTTGCAGACTGCGTAACTGAATGCTGCTCTTCCCCTTCCACCCTCCCTCACAAAGGCAAGTGTTGATTATTCATATTTGTGTGTGTGCATGAAAAGCTGATTGCAAGTAGTTCTGTGCACGCTTTGTTAATAGCGTAGATGAGATGTGTGTAAACAGTACACACCGAGTGTATCTGACTGGTTTAGGGGTCGTTTCCTGTCTGCCCAGTATTAGTTGCAAATTGGAATTGTCTGAGACAATGGATTGTGATCAAGGATCGCGATGATAAGGTTCTAAAGTCATGTTCACAAAAGGGCAGCATTACTGCTGAGAGATACAAAATGAGAGTACATGCAATAAACTGTAAATACAGCTCTCTAACATTTGTGTAGCTGCTTGTGGATGATATCCAGGACGTGTGTTTATATTTAAAAGCAAAACAAACAAAAAACCAGCAATGTAGAAGACCTGAGACAGGGTTTTACCTGTTACAGAGCACAGAGAGGATGAACTTGTGACACAGCAGAGTTGTCAATACGTTGTGCTTTAAAAAGTCTTGTTTTGCTATTATTTTTGGCTTAAATTGTAATGAAGAATTGATCTTGCCAGTCCCTGTCTGTTAGAAAAGAACACAAATGTCTTCTAAACTGAGTTACTGATTTGACTGTTTTCCTGATGGATATTTCATGAGATAAGAGATTGTGTATGTGTGTGAGAATTAGGAACTCCAGCTTGTCAGTTTTCACTGCTGAAGTGAAACGCAGCTTCTTTGTGTACCAGGCTGCAGATAAGCCTCAGGAGGGGCCTTCTGGCAACATTTTGCAACCTGTGAAAGTGCTGGGGATGACACCAGACCACTGTCTGATGAGGTTTTACTATCTGAATTGTCTATTCGGGTAGGAGCGCAGAAGTTAGGGAGCAAATTGTGACATACACCTTTGAGGGACCTATGGATGTGATAAGCCAGGAAGCCTTGACAAGTTCCTTAACAAGGATTCAACCCAGAGGCCTTTCAGATCTTTCACAGCCCCCAAGAGTATGTGCTGTTCCAGGGTATGTGCTGTTAAACTCCTGAAGTGGAGGTAGAACTGAGGTAAAGCAGGTCCAGGTCCCTGTTTAGATCAGATAAGTCTCACTTGGATAAGTGTGTGGCAAACCATAACCTCCTGGCACAAGTCACCCTGTCAAGTTACATTTACCTCTCTCAGCGCTGTCACTCAGGTATTGCAGTCTCACTGTAAACTCTTTAGTTAGCAGTCTAATCCCTTTCTATTCTTTCAAATTCTTAATAAACGATTTTTATGTCATTTCTTACCAGTTTCTCTCTGTCCTAATTTTCATTCATGCCTTTGTAAATCCCAGTGCGGTTTGCTAAGCCTCTCTCAGTACTAGGTGGTGCCTGTGACTTCATGTGCAGCAGCAACAAAACCATACGGGACTGGCTACTTCACTGCCTTCTAAAGGGGTTGCCATTGGCTCTAGCATGAACTGAGGAGAGGTACAGCTGCATTCAGCCTATCCAGAACGAGCAAAGTTGTATTTGGACAGCATCGATGCCTTCTGTAAACAGGAGTGTTCTCCTTGTCTGCCCTCCTCTACATGAGTATTGCCCCATCTGCTTTCACCCTGGGCTACTTAAGTTCTGAATTTCCCTGCTTTGAAATGTGATTACCTTTTGCAATCAAGGCCCTAGTTTTTCTCTTTGCTTTGAGCTATCGAGCCACTGAAGCTTGAGACAAGTCAGCAAAGATCACTGAAGTTCAGGATCTTTTGAGTTCCTGCAAGTATTCCTGGGCAGGTTGTTTCTCCCAGTTCTGTTACTCAGCCTGCATCTCCAGGATAATGAAGATCTTGCTTTGAGCAAGATCAGGGCCTACGTCTGTTCTCACTGGCTTTGAAAACCTAATCTAAATTAACAAGCAAGTCATCCCTAGGATGAGGAAAGTCAGAGACACTTGAAAGTGAAGGGAGTTGCCCAGGACCCTGGATTGGCTGTTGCAAAGCTGGGAATGAAACTCAGGTTTTTCTGGTCCCCTGATACAGCACGTAGCCTTATACACAGCTTCTTCAAAGAGAAGGGGGACAAGCAGGAGAGGAGGGCACTTCTGAAGTACAATTCATTTCATCTTAAAGTGGGATAAACATGAACTGTGCTCCAGATGTCCATGTTGGAGTTGCCAACAAAGTGATTCTAGAAGAGTTGCTTGTAGGCATCTAATCTAGGTGCCATAAAACCTACCAAAGGCCTTATACGTTTTACCAGTTTAATGCTGATTCTGCATTAGTGTTTGGTCTCTCCCTCCCTCTGATAATCTTCCAAGATTATAATCCATGATCATGAAAAAATACCTGCCTGCATCTGTCAGAGAGGATTCCCCTTCAGATGATGTCCTTCTGTTGATAACCCAATAACTTCTTCTTTTCCCCACTTTCCCACTTTTTAACAGAGATCTATCCGATCTTTTGCTAACGATGACCGCCATGTTATGGTGAAACATTCAACCATTTATCCATCTCCAGAAGAACTTGAAGCTGTCCAGAACATGGTATCAACAGTAGAATGTGCCCTTAAACATGTCTCTGACTGGTTGGATGAAAAGAACAAGTCTGCAAAATGTGAGGGTGACGTGGAAGCAGAGGAAGCTGCAGAAAGCAATGCCAAGTGAGTGAGTTGAACCTCATAATGTGTTACTGTACGGCTTTGAATGGGTTCTTTTCCTCCTAAATAAGCGTTGTAGTGTTCCTTGATTCTGTTGCATACGAGTATTCATAGAAGGAAGTGGATATATTTGCACTTTTTGAGGTGGAGCACACAGGATGAGTGCAGGGAATAGTAATACGTCCAATGTAGGCAGCAATTGCTTTATATTTCATTATTTTAATGTGATACAGTCAGGTTGCATTTTAGCAGACAAACTTCTCAGCAATTATAAGTGAATATATGTCCCTGTAACACACGAATGCAAATCCACAGCTGTGTAGCTTAGGGACTCCTTCAGTTTAAGAAAGAAAAGATTTTTTTGTAAACTCTCGTTGTTTATCCAGCAAACTAACTTTTATAAGGATTCATTATCTACTGTTATGTAGTGCTCTCCTGAGTGAAACATCTGTCTGCAGTATTTCTGAGTCAACTCCCTGACCCAGTGCCCAGTTTTGTTGTTGTAGCATAACTCCAGTAGTTGAGGAAGAAGCTGAAACAAATGGCTTCTTATTTTAGGTTTCTTGATGTATGACTTCTTAACTTGGGTGCTTCCAGTTCTTCAACACTTCCTGGCTAATCCGTCATGTGCTCTGCAGCTCCTGTCAGTGTTCTCTCACGTCTGTGGATGAGGAAATGAAGCACTAGGTGGCTACCTGCACAAGCTGGAGAATTGGCCCACATGAACCCAATGAGGTTTAGAAAGTCCAAGTTGCAGGGTGCTGCACCTGGGCCGGGGCATCCCCAGATATGGGGCTAAGATCACCTACGTGATCTTTAAGGTCCCTTCCAACCCAAGGTGTTCTTTGGCTCTCTGATTCTGTGAGACTAACAGCAAAGTTGTCATGACTTGAAAAATCTGATTTCCAGTTCTCTTCCTGTTAGAGAATTCTTCTCCACTGAACTTAGTCTGGTTACATCTGTAACACAACCTGCGCCAAAGGTGTAGACAAAGGCTCTTCTGATCTACTTTCCTATGGTGTGTGCAGTATTAAGAATGTCTGCTGCTACATGGGCTTTGCCCACTTATATTGTGTTCTCAAAGCTGATAAATAAAGTGTATTCTTTATCCATTTGTATTAGTTATGTTTTCTGACACCTTTTATGGTAGTGAAAATTTTATCAAGGCCTTTTAAAAATATGTATTATTTACCAGGACACCAAAAATTAAGTTGTTCACATTCAGGGGCAGGAGGAGGTACAGCCTACACTAGCAGTGGGAAATGGAAATGCAGATGCTCTATGCTATGTGCTTCTGGAGTAGGATACGGTTCAGTGTAGATAACGGAGGAAGAGCTAACTGAATCGGGAAGACTGTGTCAGTTCACAAATTGAAAATACAGTTTACTGGCTTAAAGTGAAAGACACTGATCACCGCTGTATTTATCAGTTATTTCTAAATTCATAGTGATGTATGTCTGAAAGTATAAGAGAAATGTTGCTTCCTGTTTTTTAACATTGGGGTTCCTACTTCTTGCCAGGCCTCTCAGATTTTCAGAGTAGCATTCGGGAAATGCAGTATAAAGCTGTACTATACCTCGCTACGTGAATGTACTTCAGTTTGGAAACAAGCAACGTGCTACTGCATTAATTCTAGAGGGGTGGAAGAAGCAGAAAGCGTCCATGACTTACTATTTTGCTGTTCTGAACAGCATTGTGGATTCTACAGAAAATTCTTCAAGTAAAGTAGCATTTTTCCACAGGTTTCTTTCTTAATGTTCAGGCTTTTCTTTGATTACCTCTACTACAAAGTTATGGGTTTGGGAACTATTGAAAGAAAGTGCTTGCTCTGCATGAAGTTTAAATGGAGCACCACCTACTCAGGATACACTGATCTACATCAGAAATGGTCAGCAGCATGAAGACCATCATATGATAGCCTTGAAAAAGTAAATGTACAAACAGTCCCTCATTTTGATTCTGTGGCTTTCTGTTTCCACTAATAAATATTTAACAGACACACTCATGAACACTGGCATTTTTGTGTTAGGCTGAGCTGTGTTATATCACTTTTTTGGTGTGAAATCTATTCAAATAGAAATAGCAAAACACTTAAATTCATGAATATTTTTACATAAATTAACGTATAAATTGGTTTAAGACAGAGGGATTGTATTGCCGCTGGAGAATAATTGCAGTAGACTGATAGGCTGCTTCTCCACAGACAGACAATTAGGTTCTGTCATCTTCTTGAGAAAGGTTCAGTGTCCTGCTGAAGGACTGTCTTTCTTTCCTTTCTTGCCATGCAGTGTACTGTATGTTTTGTGGGTGATTTCCTTGCATTACTGGCAGCATACCTACATGTCTTCTAAAGGGGATAACATAGGCACAGGATGGATTCTTCAAAAAAAAAAAAGTTAAAAAAAATAAAATAAAATTGAGTACCTGCATTAAATGCTTTTGAGATAACTGGATAGCCTTCTTGCTTTCACACCTGTGTGTGCAGGATGTTTTGTGCTTGAGCTCTGTTACAAATCTGGAGTAACTATCCATGTAGTATTAGATTTATAAAATAGTTTGTGAATTTATGCATTTGCTTTGGGGCAGATTATTTTACTAATCTCTTTACAAGCTAAGAGGGGCTAAAATAGTATATTTCCCCACAATGTAAAACATCTTTATGGCAGTTACAAACTGTATCTAAAGGAATTCTAGGTTTTCACACTTACTTGCATCAAGGTACTGGTAAAGAAGCAGAGCATGCTGGAAGTTGAGAGGCTGTTTTTTTAACACTATTTGCTTGTTTGCTTCTGGCTGTTTCAAGAAGAGTGGAATTACCACTTGGTTTTCCAAGTCCCTTTTTTTTCTACTCTGTTGTGTAAGCATCCATTGCTGCATTTCCGTTTAAAATGCATAGGCAAAGTTAGTAAAATGATTTGATGAAGATACTTCTGAGTGAAGCTTAGGATTTCTCAGGGTCTATTTGATGATCATTGATCACAATGGGATTGGTTGGTTTGTTTTTGTTTTTATCCAGTCTATCCTTTTGGACGATAAGAATGACAGGAGCGGGGTGCTGTCCTTCTGGCAGCAGTGGTTTGCCACTTTCACTGATTACATACTTTCTGTGGTTTTTATAACAGAAATGTGCCACTAGTTGGTGCCACAGTGTTTGAGATGCGTCATGTGGCAATACCTGGCTTTGAACTATCAAAGGTGCTTTTCTTGCATTTTTTTCCTTGCTGTTTTTATGCAAGTTTTGTGTTTTTTTGTAGCCTAATAAATTGTTTTTTGTTGCATTTTTCTTCTTGATGCTCAGAACTAGAATGTTCTTATGTTGCTCTGAAAGTTGCTTGCTGTGATCTGTAAAAGTTCCCCTGAAAGTTAGAGGGGAGTAGAACCGAGTATTCAGGCATCTATTCCTGTAGGTTTCGGTGGTGAGACTTGTTGAAGAAATTGGGCCTGGAAGTCTTTCTATAATTAGAAGCTTTCCTGAAACATCAGTTTGTACTATGTGCTAAAACTTCAGAAGTTGTTTTTACAATTTTTAAGATAAAAGTTTGAGTTTATGGATCGACTAAAAGAAGCATTGAAAAGGTATGTGGCCATGTTTGGAGTTGAAGCATTGCTAAAAGACAACTCAGATCACTTCTGCTAACAGGAAAACTTTGTCGGTTTAATTATTGTACTCTTGGTAGATATGCAGATAGTTAATTTTGGTGTTTTATTTTGTGTGTGTGCTTTGTGTCTTAAGCTAGGCAACTTCTGCATTCATGTGAATTGCAAACCAGTGTTTCAGTTTTGTCCTTTTTTTCCATTGGAGCTACTTGGATAAAAGCACTCTATGCTTTTCATTTTCTGATCAGTGGTATGCCACTTTAGCACTGTAATCAGACCAATCCATTTGTCTCTTCACTGTGATAGCATAATGCAAGTATTTTGAACATGTGAAAATACCATTTTAATTACTCAGAATTATTTCGTTTCCAGGGATCAAAGTGGTCGGACCTTGTGTGGTGTTATGAGAATTGGCTTGGTTGCAAAGGGCTTGCTGATAAAAGATGATATGGATTTGGAGCTGGTTCTCATGTGCAAAGAAAAACCCACAAAGACGTTGTTATGTATAGTCAAAGACAATCTCCCAGTTCAAATTCAGGTGAGTTAATTTAGGGTAGTCCTGTAATAATGACTGACAGCACTGCAAGGTGTATTTGGGTAAAGGCTGGAACTTCTTCCAGCAAAAGAGGCAAATGACAGAGATTAAAGAAAACACTTTGAATCTAGGACATCTAAGGAATGTAACATCTTTAATGGGGTGTTATGAAGTAGCTATTTACAAAACTTAACATCTTACTCCTGATGCTGCCTAATCCCAATTTGTGATGTCAGTTTTCCTGTGCTGGCAGCTAACCTTTCTATTTGGTAACTAACCAAGCTGATTTTTGTTCTCTGCTCCAATCCACTAACGTGAGCTAAATTGCAGTCCCAGAAATCCTCCCTGCTCAAGCATGTGAGTTGGTCTACGTTGTTGCCCCTGTCCCCCTGCCTGAACTAAGTTCTACATTGCAGCAGCTTTGCTTTGCTTAGGCTTTTCCAAAATAAGTGCCTCTCCACTTCTGAAGTGAGAACAAGACAATTTAGGTGATCACTCATTTTAGCTTATGTTACTCATGAGCTCATAATTCTTTTTTATCTACAGCTATTTCATTCTAAAGTTGGCATTCAATAGGCATCACTTAAAGCTAATGTTGGTCTCTGTAAAGTAGCCAGGGTTAATACCTTTTTGACAGAGTTCTGAGCTTGAGTCCAGCTTCCAGATTGAGACGTGCCCTGTTCATGAGACACCGTGCCCCAAAATACTCCGGTGCAGGTGCCTCTCTCCAAACCAGGTCCAAAGGGGATTGGTTTCTCTCCTGATCTGTTTTTCTGCCTTGTGTTTATTTTTACATAGATAGACAATGTGATCTGCCATTTTTGACAGTTGTTTGTTTTCACTGTTCATTTGTTCACACAAAGGGCTTGTTTTAATGAGGTAATACCATGCCTGCAGATGTAGCCCTATCCATAGCTGAAAATGATAGGAATATATTGAATGGTAGAGAGTAAACTTCACTGTTTATATTTAGGTGTGAGTTGAGAAGGGTTGAAAATAAGAAAAGTTGACATATGCTTGTTTTTTTTTAATAAAAAAAAAAAAAAGGCAAGAACAGCAGAACAGCCATAACTATAAGACATACAGACTGCAATAAACTCTGGGGACAGCAGGTAAGGTCTTATGGGGAAGCAACCTGACGGAAAGGATTACAGAACAGTTGGGGTAAGAGGAATCTAGTGAAACAAGCTACAACTATTATGGCAATAAGGAGAGGTTCTGCAAACATATTGGAGAGACGAGGAAGGTGCAGGTTCATTAGTGGGCAAAACTAGCACATGATGTACAGAGACATTAACAACTTCTGCTTTATTTTTCTTTGAAAGTTAGCCGTGAGCATGCTTAAAGAATTTCATCCCAAAAATAAAGAAGTTGAAGTGCAGGCCACAACAAGAGAAGTAGTAGTTAGAACACAAGTTAAATACGTTCTAACTTCATAATCTTGCTTAAACATACAAATACAAGCAGCTGACTTTAGGATTCATCTTTGGTTATCTCTGTACTTCTGAAGGTTGAGAGAAGACCCAAAGGGCACTGAAATACCTTTCAGACACAGATCAGTTGAGAGAATTCTGACACAAACTAGTGGAACACATTATTAGGCAACTTATATTACTATCTACAAAAGAAGTCTAAGCAAGAAATAAAATGCTTGAGAACAAATCAATTTTAAAAATGCACTTACTGATGTCTTGTCAAGAGAGGAAGGTTAGGTTTTCCAGGCATTCTCAGGAATCTTCTGGGGCTGGTATTAATGAGGTGGGTGACGCTGGAGAGTCTTGCATTCAGTTTCAAGTGCTGTGTGAAAAGGGAGTGAGACAGATGGACAGTCAAGTTGGAGAAAATCAAAAGAGAAGACTGAGAATGAGCACCTAGAAAAACACTGAAGAAAGATGAAAATGATTGTGTTTGGAAAAAGGCAAGATGGAATGCAGGTGTAAGCTTCAAAAAGACATTAATGGCTTTTTATAAAGGGACAGGCATTCAGTACCTTGCATGGCTACCAAAGGTAATTTAAAGTGTAATTTAAAAAGTAACTGGAAGTATAGCAAGGGGCAGTTGTGTTGTAAAAAAAAAAAAAAAAAAAAAAAAAAAAAAGCTGTCTATATATGTGGGAATCAGAATAAACTGTTTGGCAAAGTGGTGAAATCCTTTTTGCTGGGGCATTGAAGACTAGCTTAGACATGGTAAGAAATGGGCCAGGTGAGCCACTGCAGCCTGCTGTCCATTCGCACTGGCAGGCACAGTTGTGTCAGTCATTCTTCATACGAGAGCTTTTACGTTTAGAGGCAGCATTACCAGAAGTCTCTACTTCTAAGAACAGAAGTTGCTGGTGGTATTTCACATGCTGGCAGCTACCAAAGTTAGCTTCTATCTTTTAATTAAAAAAAAAAAAAAAAAAGTGATAGTAGTGCCTTTGTAGTGGGACTACTTAGTACTGCCATTACATTTCCTGCAGAATTTTCTTAGCTTTTTTAAAAGTCATGTTCCTGGGGTTTTCCAGTTTGTTTTTAATGAAGGAGGCAGGGCCATAGTTGCTATTGCAATGTTTGCAGGCGTCTCACTAGCTCAAGAGGTGTATGCACGTAAAGAGATTCTGCGGTTTTTCAGTTGATTAGGAGATTCTTGAAATCTTTCTTGGTGACTTTCAGAAACTTACAGAAGAGAAGTATCTCGTGGAGGAGCATGTAAATGAGGCAGCTATTATTATTCGTAACACAAAGGAGCCCAAGCTAACCTTGAAGGTGATACTTACATCCCCTCTCATTCGAGATGAAGCAGAGAAGAAGGAAGGAGGTACATGGAGCGTTTTAACGTGTTTCTAAGACTGTTCTATCAAAATGCCCTGACTGTGCAGCACAGGGTTAATTAGGAAATAGGTTTTTAATTGTGTATTCTATACTAACTAGACTGGCTTTTGCCACAATAGGTTACGTTATTTGTGCCTTAAAAAGGTAGCAGTCACTTAATTGTCCTGTAAGTATCCAATGGTTTTCATTTGCAAGCAGCATTGCTACAGTGTTAACTTTGACACACAACCAGATCTTAGTTCTTTCTTTCAGACTTAGTGGTTAATTCTGGAGCACCCCAGCGCTGCACAGTCTTGTTTTTAAATTCAGTCAGTCAAGTGGGATTGGTTCTAGTATCTTGACAAACTTGTAAAATTGTTTCTCTTTTTGCATAAAATAACTGCAAAGCTCACAAGTATATCCTCCTGGCCCTCAATTCTTATCAATTGCTGATACATGTGTATGGTTCTAGCTTTGAGTTTCCTTGTCAATGAAATTAGGGTGCTATAATGCAGTACTTTTGCTTCTGAGTTGAGTATTGTTCCTCATGCCCCTAGTCCCACATAGACTTAGAAAACTGTAACTTAGTTTCTTTCTATTCCTTCCCCCTAACTGCCTGACTTCCAATCTAGTCCTCAGCCCCTTGGTAAGGACGGGTAGTATCAACGAGGCTGGAAACAAAACAAGAGCAATAGAGAAGAGCAAATGTAGCCATATTTTATTTTATTTTTAAAATCTTGTCAGTAATTTCTGCTTCCGCTTCCCAAACCTATCCCTAGAAACTTTGCCACCGGACGATGTCAGACCTTTGACCAACTGGCCACTCTCTGTCATGACAACTGAGGCAGCTGGGCCCGCGTTGGCTAGGGAACTCCCTGTCGCTCTCTTCCCATTCTAGACTTGCCACAAGCCCTTTGCTTCTCCCCCCCTCCCACATGAACTACCGATACAATGGGAAATGTTGGTCAGTTTCTCTTCACTTTTGTTTGAGGCAAGGGCAAGAAGGATAACCTTGAAAGGAAACAGAGCCCTCTGGCAGCAGTTGGATGCAGAAAAATCTTACAAAACAGATGAATGGCAAAGATTTCCTAATTGCGATGTCTGTTTTATTCTCAAATTAGTAACCATGCTCTTTTGCAAGACCATTAAAATAAATTGTACATTACTTCAGTTATTCTTCAACTTTCTGTAAGATGTTGAGGTCAGGCCTGGTGTTACTGCAGCTGACGGATGTTTGTAAGGAGGAACATGAAGTGCAGAACAAATTTTAATGATAAAAGATTTGTAAGATTCCCATAAGGGAATAGTTTTGCACAAAGGCTTCCATCCAAATATTTTCTTGCACCAAAACGATAGCATTGTGGCAGTAAACTCTCAGGACTCCTGAATTCATCCTAAAATGAATGAGGATTTGAATTTTTATGCTTTCTTATATTTAAAGTGTATGTGTCCTATTTTCAGTGTCTTTGAATATTTTTCAAAATATTGTACTATTTTTTAAAGACTTAAAATGGTTTCACTGCCTTTGTTAGAGCAGCATTGCACTATTATTGCTGTAAAGCTGATACGTATTTGTAGGGTAATTGGATGCTGTCAAAGTCCAGGTGCTTTGATGTTGATTCATCACAAGTGCAATTGGAATTTACTGTATTTCTTTATCAAAGGTATGTGAAACATTATGCAGATATCACTAAATGCAGGTTTTAAAGAGTTTAAAAAAATACTTTTTTTCATAATATTTGCAACTGTTTTTTAGTCACTTTAACTTGGGTTCAGACCAAAAAAGTTTTCTATCTATCAATGGAAAATACTCAGAGAAACCATCAGGTGAAAAAACCTTTTTTTGGGAAAGATTTCCAAAGTATTGCCATATTTTTTTCCAATGCTCCCAAAAAAATGCCAACCAACCATAATACAGCTTCTGTGCAGTTCTAAAAATGGCCTTGAGTTTATTCAGTACGTCCTTCTGGATGAAGGGGCTCTGAATGCTAGTCAGCTTGCCGTTCATCTTCTGTGTAAGATAGGCCCTTTGGGTCCAGGTGCTGCTGCGGGTTTGCCCTAGAGCCTGCGGGCCCCTGTAGCAGCTCCCAGTGAGCAGAGGCTGCGTGAAACTGACCAAGGTTTCCAGCAGTTCGGTGTTGGTCACTAATCTGTCCTCTAACCAAATCAGCAAGGTTAGGTGCAATGACCTCGTTACCAGTGCTCCCATCTGTTCTGTAGGAATGCTGTGTGTACCTTCATGCCCTGATGTCAGAATGTATCGAAAAACGTTCCTGGATTTCTCTTCAGTCCCCACCTCTTTTGGAAAAGTGTTCATGTTTAAACTGTGGTGTTTGCCCTATTTGTTTTTGCTGCTTGTTAGCAAAAATAAATAGCAGACCAGTGTGTGTGTGTGTGCGTGTGCATTTCAGTGTTTCTCACAAATGGCTATCCATAAAGCTCTGCTTTGTCATGTTAAGAAGTCAAGCATCTAAAATTTCTGCATTTTGCATCAGTTTAAAATTTAAACTTAAACTAAATTTTTAGTCACAACATCAAATGCAAATTGGGCTTTCCAGGCCAGAATGTGGTACCTTGCAAATCAATTCTTGTTACTGAGCACTACAGTAAAACAAGCATATATAATAATAATAATAATAAACAAGTTCAGTCACTGGAGTGGTGCTGAAATCAGCCTTGCTCTGGAACTGAGCAACTACTGTATAAACAGCCTGCCTTTGCAGGCAGCCAGCGATGCTCCAAAGGTGCCAAGCCCCTCTGAAGGGGCAACAAGCCACTGATGTACCTTGCCTCTGTGGAGAAGGCAGCACTCCTTGTGTGGCTGGCTGTAAGGAATGAAATTGGCAGCCACCGTATGAAGAGAGTAAATGCAGCAAGTGGGGAGAGAATTACTGAAGGATTGGTTCTAAGTTGCAGAGTGTGAGCTAACGTCAGGGCTTGATTATGAGCTGTTTATTAAACTCAGTATCTTTGCCCTTGTTAAAACCACAAGAGAAAAAGGAAAGCTTTGCAATCACATTTAAAAATTCTGATTGGGTCTCACTTTCCTGACTGGCAGAGCATGAAGAAACATGCCATTCTACTGAGGATGTCGAAAGGGAGTCTGCTGCAAGCCGCTCACCCTCTTCACTGCCTGTTCTCTTCATCTTTCTGTTTAATAGAATCTTGCATCAAAAGCTGGCTGACTGCAACATCTGCAAAAGGTGTTCACAACACTAGTATGGAAGTTGCAATTGGCAAAATTCTCCAAGTTACTTGTAATTTAGACCTTTGGAAATAGCCTTGATCCTGCTGGAGAAGTAACATTTCAGTCTGCTGAAAACAATTCTTATGAGAACAGAAAAGGCTTTTAATTCACCGGAATGACTGATAATATTCTGTTTATGGCCTTGTACTTTAAAGTCAAAATTAATTTACTTTGTCAACAGCTGCCACGTGCTTTAGCAGTCTTGTACCATACTAAGTAAAAGTCCCTAGGTATGTGAAAACATTGCCAAAAATCAACGATTTTGCAATCAGTCATCTTTGCTAATTCTAACGTTTTAAAATAAGATTCTGATCATTCATTGACAGTAGCTGTTTTATACAGTACGTGAGCTTTAAGCAGATGTTTATATTGTCCAAAATAAAGGTTTTTTATGCAGCCACATAGAAGTACATTTAATAATTGTGTTCCACAAAACATTACTCCTGAAAATAAATGAAACTGCGAAGGAAACTTGGAAGTAAATTTTGTTTCAAGGTGACCTTTTGTGCTCACAGAAATCAAGTGCCTTGAGACTTTGCAGCTTTTATTTGAATAGCAGGCAAGACGAGTGATTAAGCTCAATATTGTAATAATGTTGGTGAGGGCAATAAGAAACAATGCAAATATCTGCTGTGAAGTTCATCGGGGTCAGAAAATAAGCTTATAGCACTTCAAGTCTTCATTCTGCAGACAGCAGAGCCAGCAGGTACAAAATGCAACCATGACCAATCAGACAAGATACCTGCTTCTGTTCAGTTTTACACTTTTTTTTTCTTTTTTTTTGCTTTGGGTTCTTTTATCCATCGTAACATAATGTGCTTTTACCAGAGTAACCTTCCTGGTGAACGGCATAGGAGGTAGAGTAACTGAACGTTAAAGATGCAATTACATTTGCAGTCAATACTACCCAAATTAATCTATGTAAAGGTATATTGAGATGTAACTAATAAATTATGCATATAAACAGATTTTACTTTTTTCTCCTAACAACCTGATATTTTAAATGTCTTTCTGGGTACTGGATTTTGCTTATTTGGCAAAGATTTTGGACTGGATGCTGCATTTCAGTGAGGTATTCAAGGATCTCTCTTGAAACCTGCAGAGTTGCCGTTGTGAATAACGAAAAGAGAGTTGTTTCCAAATTATTTTTAAATTAAGAATAATCGTGTATTCATAGAAAAATAACATATTCATGGTTTTATTTGAGCCATGGATTCATTTAGCTCTTCCGCTATGTTCTTCTCATGTCGGCTGAAATCTAAAATCCTTGTAACCTGAACTCTGATATGCAAAATTTGTCATTTGTACATAGCTTCCAGTGAATCTGAGTGCTGATCACACATTTAAGAAAAAAAAAAAAATCAGGGAAGAAAGGACTGTTGTATAATATCCCTCATTACAGAATTGCTTGTGACTGCTAAAAGCAGTTTGTTGCGTGCTGGATAAAAAAAAAAAAAGAGAGAAAGGGAAGGGTGGAGAGTGTAAAGCTCCACAGAAGATGTCTTGTCTCTAAAACCCTTCTTTGAACTTTACGTGTCAATTTTGGTTGCTGTTGGGAAGAGAAGCTTTATATAAGTGGAGACTACATCTCAATATATTAATAATCTGGTAGTTAACAAAATTCTTTCATACATTCTGCCTATATGAAAGATTATTTTTAGCATTTACATATTTCTTTCATTGAATTATATTGACTAATACTACTCAAGAAAAAGTATTTCAAATGTACTCAATTTTTTTTTAATTCTCAGCAATTGCATGGGAATAACTTCAAAGTGTTTCTACCTATTATAATTTTTCTCTATATTCTGTGTCCCTCAAGAAAATATTTCCCTTGTCAAAAGAAGCATGTTTCTGAAATTCTGTGCTACTTTTTGCACTTGGAAGTCACAAAGAAGAGAAAAATAACAATGAAAGAAGTGCTATATAGCTATTTTCTGCCCTGAAATGTTCTACATTTTTAATAAGATCCCAGATTGTCTGTAGCAGTGGCCATCTCTATTATTACTATTATTGTATGAGGAGTGAATGCCTTTGCTTCTGTTGCACACGTGCACATTTACTACCTTTAACGGCTTGTTTAAATTAAGTAACAGTGCACTTAAATTCTGGGAGTCTTATTACCTCATTGAGATGCTGCCGCTCTTTTTGTATTGTGACAGAAACCCCTTGGTCAAATTGTATCTGTCTCTTTTTATCCCATTTTTACCAGTAGATAATGTTGCGATGAAAGATCCTCCGGACTTATTGGACAGGCAGAAATGCCTGGAGGCCTTGGCGTCTCTGCGGCACGCCAAATGGTTTCAGGTTGGCTATTTGTTCTTACCTTGTTGTTACTGTAGCCTTATGAGGTTTAATTTCAGATATTTAATTTTAATGCCTCTTTAACTTCTGATTAGTCCCTAGTAGAGCAAAGGTCTAGATTTCCGAATTCAGTGCTGTACTGTATAAGGGGCAGGCATGACAGGTAGACAGCCAACTGGTCTAGAGTTGTCATGAGGCTACGAGAGCAATCTTGATATCTTGCTTCCTTTTCTTTGTCTCTCTATAAGTTGAAATATTTTACTTAATATAACTGTTGTTTTGCATGAAGCTGATTAAGTATTAAATAGTTATCGTAAAAAAAAAGTCTATCCCAGGACTCTGCTTTTTTTTTTTTTAAAAAAAAAAAAAAGGCAAAATTGAAGGCCAGGTCTTTGCAGGTATATTGGAACCCTTTTGTTTGTTTTAGGCCAGGGCAAATGGACTAAAATCATGTGTAATTGTGCTTCGTATTCTACGGGATTTGTGCAACAGAGTCCCCACATGGGCACCACTGAAAGGATGGGTAAGTACAGAAAGAGCTGAAGGCAACCTGGTCAGATCTCAAATTTTCTACGGATTGTAGTGGTGTTTGGACTGGGAGAAGCAGTGCATTGTATGACACTCCTCCCTTTAACCTGCCTCCCTCCCCCTTTTCTCCCCGCTCCTCACTAACTGCAAGCTGTGTAGAAAAGTGCTTACCAGGAGGAAAGAGAATGAGTCCTGTTCAGTCTGTAAGATGTACTGACACCATGGGAAGAGGCGTGACATTGTGGGGCCTTGCACATCCTCATGGATTAGCAGTAGAATCCCACTTGTTGCTTCCAACCTCAGTTTTTCAAGTCTTCTGCTACCATGACAGAGCTGGCCCTGTCAGAGCAGCCACTTCATGCTAGCAGCCCTGCAGAAGGCAAAATGCTCTCTGTGTCCAGAGAGGAACACTTTGGAGGTCAGCAGAGGCAGCATTTTCTCTCACGTAGAATTGATATCCCTTTGACAGGAGGAGAATATTCACGTGATTTGACTGTAAAAGGCTTTTCCTTTTAGAGTTCCAGTGCAGTTAATGGAGAGCAGTTGGTTTCCTCAAAAGGTGACTCAAAGCAGGGAACAAATATATGTGCCATAACTGTCCTCTGAGATGGCAGCCTCTGTCAGTTAGACCTGTAGTGGATTAAAGCTGAAGTAAGCTGATGTGAATATTCTTCCCCTCTACCTCTCCATATTTAACTGCAGTTACAGTTACCCTTGTATCCATACTAATCATAATTTAATGTCTTCTAGCCACTCGAGCTTATATGTGAAAAATCTATAGGTACTTGTAATAGACCTTTGGGCGCTGGGGAAGCATTACGACGAGTGATGGAGTGTTTGGCATCTGGAATTCTGCTTCCTGGTAAGGGGCCAGATTAACCTCAGGAATACAGACTGTTGTTCGGGCAGCCCAAGCCCATTTAAAAGTATGCTGCTGTATGATTAGATGAAAAACACCCGCCTTGTGCTTCCCATATGCAATGGAACTGAATGAATATGGCTTATTATTTAAAATTGAAAGATAAAAGGAAATTGCATGGTCAAACTGAATGAAGTACTTCCAACACAGTTAGGAGTTCATGGGGAATGTTAGGTTTGTTTATAAATGAACCTCGATCTCATTAAGGGGTTCCAAACAAATGTGGACCTAATGACTAGCTACTTCATATAGATTTACTGAAATCAGCATGTCTACCCAAAACATCATTATTTCCTTTTAAACCTCCTGCTTTTAATTCACATTGTTGTACCCATGCAGTGTTCACACTGATAAGTTCTGTGGCCTCTTGCTTCATGGGTTAGCTTGCTTTGTATAATATTTGAATCCCTTATTGGGAAGGGTGCACTTCCCACTCTGCTGAAGATAAAGGCTAGCTGTTGGAATATTCATTACTCTCTTCTTTCATGTTGCTTCATGTTTACTCTCAATAATCTGTTTTACATTTTTCCTTCCCAGGAGGCCCTGGTCTGCATGACCCCTGTGAACGGGAGCCAACAGATGCTTTGTCGTATATGACAGTTCAGCAAAAAGAAGCCATTACGCATAGTGCTCAGGTAGAAAACTCACACAGAGAAGCTAGGTGCTATAATACTCGAGATTTCAGCTAATTAATTCAACTTATTCTCTGGCATGATGGCTTATTTTAGTGGTGGTCCTGATGGTTCTTATAGTGCCCTGCACTGGAAAGATGAAATAATATTTTATGAGTGCAAGAGTTAAATACAGATGAAATACAATCCTTACACGAGGCAGCCTAATGTGTGTGCACCATTTGCATCCTACTTCAAGCGCCTAAGGCACAGTCCTTGGGTACGCTCCCTGTCAATGTGTCCTGCACTTCATACTACAGAAACTGATGTGTTTAAGATTTCTAGAAATTAACATTTTCATGGAAGAAGTTACTTTGTGTCTACAAACTTAGACAACTCAGATAAAATAGCATTGTGATGTAACTTGTATTTCTACTGTCATTTTATAGCATGCCCTCAGATTATCAGCCTTTGGTCAGATCTATAAGGTTTTGGAAATGGATCCTCTCCCATCAAATAAGTCATTTCAGAAATATTCCTGGTCAGTAACTGACAAAGAAGGTAGGTATTGTATGCTCTAAAAATCACTAATTTGGAAGTAAACTAGGAGGTTAATATAGAATGAGTGAAATTCCTGCGTTCCATGCTATGAATTTACAGCGAAGATTTTTCTTTGTCAAATGTTTCTTTGTTCTGTTTTGTTTTTTACTTGGTTTGTTGTCTGTTTTTTTTTTTTTGTTTTTTTGTTTTTTGCTGTTGTTGGTTGGTTGGTTTGTTTTAGTTGTTTGACTTGTTTTGTTTTGGTTGGTTGGTTTGCTGTTTGGGTTCTTTTTTGGTGGCTTGGTTTGTTGCTTTTAATATACGTATTTTATTGTTAGGAGAAAATCTGAATGTTCTGTTCTCCAGAAGTACCAACAAAGGAGCAGTTAGGGAATAGCTGATGACTTTCTTTAAAGCACAAATCCTTTTGGCATCTGAAGAGTAAAATTAATATTTACAATTCTTGTGCTGGAGAAGGAGAGACTTCAGACTGGTTGAAAAACGTATAACGAATGTCCATAATGAGAATTACTCATGTTTTTCCGAGAAAATAGTATACATCTAACAAAAAAACTTTCTATGTATTTCTTTTTTGGAAAAACAAAATTATTACAGGTCTTGCCATAGACTAAATATAAAACAAACAAAAAAAGTCACTACAGAATTACAGTACTTACAGTACACGTAATATTAGAAACAGACATCTTGCATGGCCTGGTGCAATGAGTAATGAGCTATTATTGGTTTACATGTAACAGTAACAAAGCTTTGACTGAAGGTTGAGTTCTTTTCTTAGTTATAAATGGGGAAAGAACAGTATGGGACTAATCAGATTCCTGCTATGGAATTTTGGTTTTTTAATAGTTTATTCATATTACAAGGAAATTTATACTCTAGGTACAGGCTCATCTGCTCTCAAGAGACCATTTGAAGATGGTGTTGGGGATGAGAAAGATCCAAATAAAAAGATGAAGCGTAATCTGAGGAAAAGTAAGTGCAATGCTCTTCCATTCTCTTTTCAAAGACCCATTGTACAGTGGGAGCTGGCTTAAAAGCTTCTCGCTGTTGGTGTGGAATAGCATGCGAGGAAGTCTTTGGAACAAGAAATGCCACCTCTCTTGCCTCACATTGAGAATATACATTTCTTATGGGGCATTTGAATTTCCCCTGACATGTTTTACTAACTGCATGATTTGCAATCTAAATAGGATTGCTTGTCAGGTCATAGGAAAATTTAAGTTGCCCAAGCAACTGAGATATTTTATTGATTACTGTCCTCTACCAGCTTTTTTTCTGCCAAATACTGCAGTGATTTGGCTGTGTGAAGATTCGCCTTTTTGCATTCTTCCCTTCTCAAGAAAAATAAAACGCTTAATCTACAAAACGATGATGAAAATGCACAGACTAAAAGTCTCAGCATTTCTGGGATCCAGTCAATTCCAGAGGCTGTTTTGATTGTGCTACATTGGTGCAAATTCTATGTCTGGTTCTTCACTACCAATGAAACTTGTTACTCTGATATCAACCAGGAAAAATACAGGTAGCTGCAAAGGAATTGTACTAACAATATTAAAAGATGGGTAATTATAGTTACCCAAAAGTGGAATGGCATATTACAGACTTAACAGTGTCATGACTATCCTCAATCTTTTAGAGGCTGAGGGGTTGTTTTGCTCCTTTATACAGACAGAAAGCTCTTAAATGCAAACTGTTTCATTTTGCTGTTCATTTTGTTTTGTTCATCTCCCCTCACCCTTTTTTTCCCCCCTTCTCCCCTTCCTTCCACACTATCTTGTACTAGTACTAGATAGTAAAGCAATAGATCTCATGAATGCTCTGATGAGGCTGAACCAAATCAGGCCAGGGCTTCAGTATAAGCTGCTGTCACAGTCTGGTCCAGTCCATGCCCCAGTCTTCACAATGTCTGTAGATGTTGACGGTACGACATATGAAGCATCAGGACCTTCTAAGAAAACAGCCAAGCTCCATGTGGCAGTGAAGGTAAGGCAGCCTAAAATACTCTGTTAACCCCAAATCTTGGAACATAGAGCATGAAATATGGTTAGAACTAGTAATACTAGTAAAACTCAATAACGAATAAAATTTTAAAACTGAATTTTAAAAATGGATGAAGCTGAGGTGCTACCAATGTACTTGAAACAGAGGTTCAAAGGTTCGAAGGGCACCACTCCTTTTAGACTAGTGGAGAGGGACAATGTGGAAATGTGAAGGAAAAATGTCCCAGGGCTCTGCAGGTCAGCTCATGTGCCAGAGGACCGAACGCAGTGTCTAAGTTCTGGATTGGGAGGGGTGTACGTGCTGGTTTTGTTCTGTTCTCCGCCTTCCTCCTGTTGGCTAGAAAACAGCATGTTGATGGCTCCTTCTTTCTCCCCTTCCTTCTCTGTCTGTCCATTCCTGGGTTGTGAAACTCCTTGAAACATGGAGTTGTTTCCTGTCCCCAGTGTTTGAAGAGTATCTTTGTGCACTGGGCTGTACGTAAATGATTGGTCTCCAGTCAGTTTTTCAGTAAGACTAATCTCATGCAGTCGCTAGTCAACCTACTGTTGCTTCTTGTAGGTGCTGTACATGGCAGAGCTTTTGTCTGTTAAGCAGTAATAGACTGGAATGCCCAACATGAACACCCTTGTTGTATGGCAAGAGGACAGTTCAGACTGCTAAAGCAGACCGAGCCTTCTGGGTTTCTGGGAAGAAAGGAAAGTTTCCTACAGATTTTTCATGTGAAAGAGAACCTCTTCTAATAGAACTGCACTTATGATAGGAGCAAGCGCATCTGTCATTCTGTGCTTCGTTTTGTGTTTTTAAGAACTGCCTTTTTAGAAGCTTCATCTGGCAACTTTCTGCTTTCTTTTGATTTCCGTTTTGAAAATCCCATTGTCCCTCGTGCTTTCAAGTTCAAAGTGTCCAGAACTATCTGAGGGAATGTGTTGTTCCTCAGGAAAAGCATCTCTCTGCATGTGTGTCCTTCCAGACCTTCTTCCTCATACTTTTATTTTACCTCACTCCCTGCAGTTGTTTGGAGGAAAAAAAAAAAAAAAAAAGAAAAAAAAAAAAGATGTATCTATATATAGAGAGAGATTTTTTTAACAAAACTTGCCCTGAAAAGCTGCAATTTCTCTGCCACTGAACCTCTCTGTATCTGCCATATCTGCGCTGGTACACACCCAGCTCTGTTCTCTCTCAGTCTACACATACACAAATCCTGGGTTGAATTTCAAAACATCCCCGATTCAAGCCAAGGGCAAATGGATGGTGTGTAGATACTATTATTTTATTTTTTTTCCCCTGAGCAAATCTGGGGCCTTTTTTCGCAGACTTACAAGAGAGCTTAGTGTAACCATTTCAGTTTCCAGATCTGATCTTTTTAAAACATTGAAGCCTTGAAAATTCACCTAAATATACAGCAATTGTACGGGAGCTGAGGCTGGGATAACCTCTGTAGTTTTCAGTTCAGTGTATAAACAGTGATTTTTGCACTTTCTTCTTGGGATTGCGTTTTCAGTGGAGCTTCAAGTTGGTTTCAGATTCCCTGGGGCTGTGTCCGGTACCTCTGTCCAGCTAGGTTAGGTAGCTGGTTAAAGGAGAGGCTGACGTTGCTAGCGGAAGATGTTTTTGAAGGAACTGATTAGTACCTTAATTGGAGAGTAAAATTTCATTTGGTGTGCAGCTGCTGGAAGCAACAACTAGGAAGTTGTGACATGCTCCACTAAAATTTACTGCACATGGAGTGGTTGTTGCTCTGCCAGCTGGACCCTCATCTCACAGCTCAGGACACCCGAGCTTGTTCCCTGTGGAACTTTGGAAGCATCTACCCTCCAGTGTTCTGAAAGATGCGAGCAAGGAAGGTGATGTCAGCCCTGTAGCTCTAGGGATACACTTGAGCAGTGACAGCTGGTCATGCATTTTCTAGGAAGCTCCAGAAGTGCCATCTTCTAGAAGTGCAGTGCTTTGATTCTCATGAGACTGTTTGTCCTGTTTGCCCTGCAGTCAATCTGTTCACCTGTCTATATACACAGAGAGAGAGGAAAAAGTATGCAAAACAATCTTATCATACTGTTAAGCAGTATCATGGAGTGGATGAACTTTTTAATTTTACCCTATTATTTTGCATGGAATTATCAAGATGAATGATGCTCATGAGTAATTGCTGTCTTTGAGACAAACATTTCTGTTTGTGTTGATTCCACTTCTGGAAACCTGGAACTATTTCCCCCATTGCTGCTGTGCTTTTCTCCATTTCACACAGGAGAAAATGCATTTTCTAAGCAATCTGCCTTTATTAAGTGTATAGTGGCCATTCTTTCGTGTTGTGATTAGGCCTCTATTTGTTTATACTTGCTTCGGTAGCATTAGCCTATTTTACAGTTCATTTCATGTGCTTTTGTTGTAGGTTTTACAAGCAATGGGGTATCCAACTGGTTTTGATGCAGATGTTGAGTGTGTAAGTTCTGATGAAAAATCAGATACCGAAGGCAAAAATGAAACAGTGTCTTCAATCTCAAGCAATAATACTGGAAATTCTACATCTGACACCTCCACTACCCTAGAGGTAAACATTACATAGAAAAGTACAAGTGATGGAGAGGTGTGGGGTTTTTATTTCCTGTCTTGGAAAAGGATGATGTTTTCTTTATGGCAGCAGATAAGAAACTGAGTTTCCAGTCTCAGACCTTCCATAGGCTTTGTCACTGTGCACGAATAGCTTGATCTTTATGCCTCCTTTCCTAAAATTTAAGGTAAAGTAGCCATATTATGCTTTTAATACCATAAACTCTTTGACAGGTGTTGTCTCTTCTACTTTGCTCACATACAGTCCAGTCCTAGGAGTGGGACAACATAATCTTGTTTGTTACCTTTTGGCTTTGGTAATGCAATTTTGGTATTTTCTTTCTTGCAATAGGTTTGTCAAAAATGTATAGTTCTGTAGACAGTATCTTACTGATACACGTGAAGACCAATGAAAACAAAACAATTCATCAAGGGATGTTAGAAAACGTAAAACCTAATACCTCTGTGCATATTGAATGACCTAGAAAAAGCCACACTGAAGATTACATTGAAATTGGATCATTTACGTTAACTTCAGCACTTGTAGCTGACTGAAGTCGGTTGCTACGAAGCAGTATGCAGTGCTTGTTTCCTCACTGAAGTTGTAAGAAATATGGTATTCCACAAAGGACAAAATTCCAGTAACTTTAGCAGTCTTGGCAGAACATCCCCAGAAATCATGCTAGGATCACAGAATCATAGAATTGCCTGAGTTGTCCGCTATTCTGGTGCAGCATGTTCTACTGAAGCCAAGGCAGTGTTATCTGTGATACAGGTCTGTCACTGGAATGTCCAGTGCAGTGTATGTACTGGGAACAACGAGCTGTTGCAGAGGCTTGACACGGTGATAATGCCAGCCTTCTCCAAGGGTCTGGCCGTTTGATGCTGTAAGCTATACCACTGTAGATGTCTGCCATTTGAAGACAAAAGGCTCTAAAGCAACACCATAAATGTGTCTCTAGGTAAGAACTCAGGGTCCTATACTGACAGCAAGTGGCAAAAACCCAGTGATGGAGCTTAATGAAAAAAGAAGAGGTCTGAAGTATGAGCTCATCTCTGAGACGGGTGGAAGCCATGACAAGCGCTTTGTGATGGAGGTGAGTGAAACAAGCTTGTAGAGTTGGTAGGTGGTTTTAGCAACGGTGCTTCAGTCTTCAGAGGGTGCTTCAGAGGGTGACAGAGCACTGGAATAGGTTGCCCCAAGACATTGTGGAGTTTCCTTCTCTGGAGATACTCAAAACCCACCTGAATGCCATCCTGCACAGTGTGCTCTGGGTGATCCTGCTTGGCAGGCGGGTTGGATCAGACAATCTTCAGAGGTCCCATCCAGCCTCAGCCATTCTGTGAAGTTCAGGCATACTGGCTAAATTCAGTATCAAATAGATGCACTGGTCCTATTTTAATTGCACTTGTAGTTTCCAGGTTCCTATTTTCAGTCATGTAATGGTTCACGTGATCGCATACATACACTTCATCAGCTTTGTGTTCTTGAAGCAGAAGAAATCTGTCATACAGAACGTGGAATGGTGTTTTGTTGTTTGTGTGTTTGTTTTTTAACTATTGAGGCTCTCTCATCACTAGATGAGAGGTGCAGCATGGTATTCCCAAGGATAAAATACTAGACATAAATTCATATCTTAACATAAATTCATATCTTAATTTTCAGGTAGAAGTAGATGGCCAGAAATTCAGAGGTGCAGGTCCAAATAAGAAAGTAGCAAAAGCAAGCGCTGCATTAGCTGCACTTGAGAAACTGTTTTCTGGGCCTAATGCAGCAAACAACAAGAAGAAGAAGATTCTTCCTCAGGTAAGAATTGTTACTTGCTTTTTGGATCACTCTGTTACCACAGCTCTTGGGTGGTTTTATGACACATGACCTTCTAGAGGAAGCAGGTAATTTCATTTTCTTGCCTTGTGCACACACTGTATAGTTTCTATTTTTATTCTTATATAGTAATTGTTGTAGCATAGCCATATGGTATGGTAGCTGGGACTGTATTGTGCTAGTGCTATTACAAAATATTTTCCTATTTATTATTAAGGGGTTTAACCTAGAGGACACAGAGTAGAAAAGGAGGCACAAAGAGAGGTGGTGATTAGCTAGAGGAAATACAATCGGGTTCACTGATGACATGGAAGTCTCTTGTGTGTAAGGCCAGAGCCATACTGTGCTCCTCCACCATCTAAGATACATAGAGAATAAATCATTTATAGCTTGGCAAAGGCATTAACTCTATGTTCTGGAGTAAGTTGAGATTTTTGCACCAGAGTTTTCAAATGAGACATTTTATTTAGTCAGGACGCTTCTGTAATACAGATCTTGGTCTTGTCCATTAGGTTTAATAGCCACAGTGATTTCTCAAGTCTATTAAGTTTAAGGTTGAACAGAGCAGAAACTATCAACAGTGTTCCTCCTCCAGAGAACTGTTATCAGGAAAAAAAAACACCCTTGAGGGTTACCATTTGGATCTCTTTTGTGCAAATGTGTTAGAATTAGGATTTTCTTATTTCACAGGAGCAGAATGTATCCCCAAATACACTTACAAAAATTAAAAGTCAACTCTATTTTTGTCTGTAATTACTAAGTCCTCCTCAACTCACTAAGACTTTTAGTTAGGAGTATTTCAGTTTCCATTACTGTGTTGAAAGTCTAGTAGATCAGAAGAAATGGTACCTCACAGGACAATGTTCCACAGGCAGCTAAAATATGAGAATGGCTTCTGATTCTGGCACTTACTAAATCTTTTTTTTTTTTTTTCCTCTGTGTTTATGGCCAAACTTGTCTTTGAAATACCTAGATATGCTTGATTTTACTGTGTTTTCAGAAGGTAGCCGGGGGGCATGTAGTACAGCAAAGCTCTGCTCTGATGCAGTGAGCAACACCAGTGTCTGCAGCTCCTTGCTGTACTCTGAATTCTTTCACTTATGACAATGGGAAAGGAAGATGGCATTCTAGAAGAAGCTGGTCTAAACTAATCCAGCGTTGTCATGAGGTTGTTTTGCTTTTGTGGTGGAGTCCTGGCCCTGCTGAAAATTTGCGGATTCAGGGTTGTAGGAAAAAAGCAAAGACCACGTTGTAGATCAGGGAGAGGCAGTTTGTAAGGATGTGGAAAAGATAGCGGCAAGGCACATCAGAGAATAGGGCAGAAACTACTCACGTTTGATCACGCTCACACAGCCAAAACTTAAGGAAGGAAATAAATATGGCCTGACTATGCCAACTGCCAGGACACAGTGAAGCGACCACGCTCTTAGATTCAGACTGCTATGCAGTGAGCTCTCAGAAGGGACTCTTTCTGTCAGTCTTTTTTTTTTTTTTTTTTTAATGTTACTTCTCCATTTTGTACTCTGCCTTAAATAAGGCTTGTGCAGCAAGCATTCTTAAGGAGATTTGGGAAAGGTGGTGATGCAGATAGCCTTGTATTTCCAGCAACACTTCCACCTTCTGAATTGCTATTGTTTTTATTACTCTGAGCAGACTAAAGGGGTTGTCAATACAGCTGTTTCGGCAGCAGTCCAGGCTGTTCGAGGTAGAGGAAGAGGTGCTTTAACACGAGGGGCATTTGTTGGGGCAGCTGCTGCTACTGGATACATAACACCAGGTAAGGCATGGCACTAACGGCTAATACTTTAATTCTGACTACTGGTGTGCCCTATTCCATTCGTCAGTCAACTATGCAAGTGACCTCTTCAGCTTCAGTCATCTGAGATGAAGCAGAAGAGAGAATTCACGGGTGTTTTAATAAATCAAAGAGCTGAACATCTGGCGGTACCTATCCTTTATAAGTCTGCAACTTAAAACTCCATGTGTACAGGGCACAAGTACACAGTTATCCCCATAATGGCTTTCCTGGCTTTATCATTCTATTATCTGTCTTTGTAGTTGACTGCCAAACAATTTCCTAAACTTTCTTCCTGGGTCAGGAACCTCTTGCATCACATGTCCTGTAGCAGTAGGATTGGCTTGCCCAAGAAACCCTTGCAGGGATAGAACTGGCAGTCACTGTGATCCCAGAAACTTTCCACGTGAATCGGGCATGTGAGCACAATATCTATCAGTAGCTTCTATGCTGGCCTAAAAAAAAAAAACAACAAAATTTGTGTTCATACTCTGTTAATTCATCATCCGTGCTGTATTTTCTGAGTAGCAAAGGATCTTTTGAAAACCAAGGGCCTTGTGGTTCACATACGTGGTACTTTCTGTACACAGCAGGTGAGTTACTAATCAGGTTATTTCACTGCTGACTCCTCAGGGCAGATTTGCAACCATCAGAGGCAAAACTATTTGAGCTTTTGAAGAGCTTACGTGCTCAACTATTAGTGGCTGGTCCAAAATAGTGATGGTTTTTATTAACCAGTAGGTTGCAAGCCGATACGAAGGGCATATGGAGTGTAAGCTGTTACAATCCACAGACAAGAAAACTTTAATGAAATGTTAACATTCTCTTTACTTCTTAAAGTGCATTTTTTTTTTTGTGACTCTGCATCAGATCCGAGGCTTGCAAGTAACGTGAAGGGAGTCTAGATGTTGTTTTGACTTTGAATATGTATCACAGATTTTTAAGAATGAGATGCTTGGAGATCCCTTAGTCAAAGCAAATCCAATAGCTTCCAAAAGTAGTATGTATACTCATACTCAAGTTTTCTGAATACAGCAGGAGCTCTAATTATACTCTTCATCCATTCACACATACTAATAGCATAGCCCTGTTGTTTGCTAGACCTGCTTTCTGGCACAGTCAACAGCATGATGTCTTCATTGTTCCTGTATGTTGATGTAATTATAAATATTAAAAACCAGTAATTCATTTTTAATGGCTGTTAACATTGTTTTTGGAACTGTCTTGCTGCCTGAGGAGTCATTTATGAGACATTTTAACCTGTCAAGGGCATTCTCCTTGCCAGCATGGAATTACTCCAGAAATAGGTTTGATTTCCAAGTCATTGCAGTAGTTAAGCTTTTATTGGTCTTGGCCTACACAGATTATTTCTCTTCATCCTCTTCTCAGAAATCTATTGCTTTTTCTGATGGACTAAAGCAATTCCAGCAGGTGGGGCGGGGAGAGGACACAACCCTGTACAATCTTAATTATTGAGATACAGTAACCAAGATTGGTGTTCTCCACTGTTCCTGTTTGTCTCACTCCACAGTAACACCTAGCGCTTTGGAAAAAAGATACTGTTTCTGTTTGCATCTAGTTGTTCCCATGTCCTTTGTCCTTTTCGGCTGCAGAAGTGGCAGGGCACGCTGAATTCACACAGGAACTTTATTGATGACGATGTGGTATCTGCTGCAGGCATTCCCCTCTTTATAATGCAAGTTGAGGACGATGATTGTTCTTTGCGTCAGACTGTATTTGTACTTCAGAGGTAGCATAAGCAAATACGGGATGTGTAACTGGATCCATGCTCTGGCAGTACAGACTCAAGAGCTGAGGTTTAAGAAAGTCATTGGGTAGCTTGTTCTTTAAGACACTGTGTAGAAGGACTTTAGTGTTTTCAGCAGTTTTCACATGCGTTAATATGATTTTTTGTTTTTTTCTGTGGTCCTTCTTTGTGTACCAGAAAGTGTCCCTGTGTATTGATATGCGAATACCAATTGTCTTCAGGTATCACAGGAAATGAAAACCCATTCCCCATCTGTTTATATTGCAGGCTATGGAGCACCATATGGGTATAGTACAGCTGCGCCAGCTTACGGTATGTATAGCCCAGTAATTAACAAATTAGAAATTATACAGAAACCATTGTGCCAGTCCAAATGTGGCAGTCCAAGTTGGTTTAGGTTTTGCAGGAGAAACTTAAGAGATTAAAGCTCTTAAACCATGATGACAACACCTTGCCATAACCTTGTGGTTCTTTTTTGGTTGGAGTAGTTTTTTGCCTATGCTTTGCCTGATCTGTGGAAGGACCGCTTGTTCTAATTGCCTGTTCCCTTTCATACTGAAACTGAACTGAAATAGTTTTCTTACTTTTTACAGCCAATCTGTGCTCCATTCAAAGACTACCTAAGGGCCTATGTCAGCATCTCTGAGCCATATTTATCTAAATGGCTTTACAAATAATTGGCAATGTTTGCCTACAAGTTTAATTGGCCTGTGGACCAAGCTCCCCTAGTGCTGTCAACTACTGTATCAGAGATTATTTCATAGATAAGTCTATGTGCATACAATCCCATCCCTGCCCCACCCCGCTCCCCCTGCTGCAGGCTAAACCACTGCTGCTTGGGACAAGCAGAACGATTTTGTGTAGCTTATATCACTGGTGATTAGACTGCAAGGAAGCTAGGATACAGTAATTTGCCACAATGATTTTACTAAGAAGCATAGTGAAATTAGGCTGGCAAGGCATTGGTTAAGACTGTAAAATAAACTAAAAATCAGCACTGATGGAAAGGTTTTTCTTACCTCAGCTTCTCCCTACCAACCTGCTTTTTTTTTTTTTTTTTTTTTTTTTTTTTAGTGCTAGACTAACAAAGTGTATTTACCTCTAACCGGCCCTTTTGGTTACTTTGAATGAGGTTTATGTGGCAATGGGAGCAAAGCAGTTTGGAGTCAGTGATATGTCCTGGCACACAAAAAAAACACCAGCACCTACCTACCAGAACCCATCCCACTGTCCTCTCCTGTCACAGGACGGGAGGGAAATCCTGCTACTCAAATAACAATAAGTACATTTCAAGGCCTGCAGTTTTTTCATATGGGAAACTGAGCTTGCAATTTCCTACTCATTTTCTAGCTTTTGTAGTATTTGTAATACTTATTCCTCTCTAATTTGTATAGATTTTATAGCTTGGGCAATACCAACTCCCCTGATAGCATTATAAAAGTTAGAAATACTTTCAAATGTTTATTTCATTACTTTCTTTTAGAGGTATGAGCTATAGAAAACAGAATGCTGCTGCGTTATTGAAAACATTCTCTTTGCTTGACTAAGAGCAGCCAGCCCTATTCTGTTCTCATGCAGTGGAGAGGGGAAGTACAATGGGCCAACGGGCTGCACTTAACAGTGGGAATTCTCCCTTCAAAATATAAGCAAACCTCACTAGTTCTGCAAATCCTGCCCCATTGACCGGCCAAGTGTTTTGACAAAATGGCAGCTGACAGCTGTGCTTTCCTACAGAGTGTGCTCTGCATTGTCTTCTGTGTTGTATTACTGAAAATGGAAGGAACAGCTATTTGTTTTTCAAGGAAAAATCAAAGGAAGTTTAGTTTATGGCTTACTTGACGGCATGGATTTTTAAAAAACCTCTAGTTCTTTCCAAGCTGTAGTGACTGGCTATAACCACGATCCAGTGGTATATGCACTTGTGTATTTTTACAAGCCAGGGGCTTGCAGTGATGTAACATGAATCCTTTTCTGGCTGAAGAAGACAGTACAACTGTTATCAATGCTCCTGCAGCATGAGTTTTACTTACAGCTTTTTTTGCCTTCCTTTACTCCTCTGTTTTGTGTTTTTTTTTTCTCATGATGAGTATTTTGGGAGCTAGATTTTAATCAACTAACTGTGTACATGTGACATATCGCTGACTTCAAAACACTGTGGAATTGAATGCCCCCATTTTTCACATAAAGAGTTTCTGTTTTTAATGTCTTATGATTGTGATGCAAAGTACTGGGATAATGCTTTTTGGCTGTAAGGTAAACATGTCTCTGCCTTTGTAAGCTGTTGCATGTTGGGAAACTTCACTTTGATCATCTGGTGCTCTGGAATACCTGCTGTTGCTGCTTTGTGATTTCTAAATGGACACATAGGATAAACACTAGAACTTAAATAGGAAAGAATTATTTAAAAAAAAAAAAAAAGCATTTAATTGTGCAGAAGCTTGTGAGGCCACAAGAACTCTGTAATAACCATGAAATCAGGCAAATATTAATCTTTCCAGATTTGCCACTTCAATACAGGATAGAAAAAGCAAAATAAAGCAGCAGATACAAAATTTACTGTAGGTACTGAATTATTTGGCTGACCTATGTGGAAGCTTATCAAAACTGCTGGACAGTTTCTCTATGAATTTTCTTTTATGCATAGCAGATCCTGTCAAGAGTATCTGCAATTGTTACTGGCCTGTGAAATACGACCACAGAACAAGGTAGTAGAGATTAATTATCATAAAGATTATGAACTAGCTTCAAGTCCAACCTCTTTTCAACAAAACACACTCTTATTTTTGAGACTACTGCTTGCTTTAATTTTAACAAACACTGGGACAAAAATAAAAGCAAACTTTAAGCTAACCATCTGTTTGAAGTAGTACAAAGTGTTGAAGTGTTACTGTTTATGGGGCCCTGTACCCTAAAGTCACATTGACTGATCTGGAAAAGGTTAATGAGAACACTACTGTAAGCTCATATCTGACTTCCTTGGATCACTGAACTTATTTGGAGTCCTCTCCCTTTTTTCTCTCTGTAGGTTTACCCAAGAGAATGGTTCTGTTACCAGTTATGAAATTCCCAACTTATCCTGTTCCCCACTACTCATTCTTTTAGCAAATGGCAGAAGCTAATTCCTATTGATTGAACAACACAGTACAGTGCAGAATGTTAGAAGAAAAAAGAGCCTTTTTATCCTGTTTTCTTTGAACACATACTTGAGCAAAGTCATTTGTAAAGAAACATCTTTTTCCTACTTTTTGATTTTAACAAAATGCAAATTTAGTTCTCTAAAACTTGAAAAAAATGTTCTGTGAAATGTTACCTCATTTTCAAATAACTTATACCAGCCTTCTGTTATAGGGAAGAACTAGAAGCTTAAATCTTACGTTTTAAATGAAGTATCCGATTATGTAAAATTAAATTTGTGAAGGATGTATAGAATATAAAACACTGATCACAAATAAACTGTTTTGTTGTAACACAAGAGTACTGCCTGTTTCCTAATGCAGTCACACAGATTCAGTTAGTGACCTGTACTTGTTGTAGGGTTATTTAATGCAGGGCATAGTTCTTTAAAAAATTATAAAAATAAAAATAAAAAAAGAAACTTCAGTTAAAATATAACTTCGTAAATCTTATGGTGTGTAATAAACTTAGTAAAATATGGGTTAAATATTGTTTTATTTTATAGAGCTAAGCATCAGTATGTGAGTTTCCTTAGAATCTTTAAAATCAGCATCCTGTAACTCTCAGTGACTTTAGTCTTAATTATCTAAGAAGGCTTTTCGTTTGTACACAGAATACTGAAAAACAAACAAAGCAAAGGGAATTAATCCTAGACAGCCTCTTTGTATTAGGTTACATTCTGTGAAACACATACTAAACAAAGGAAGTTCCCACAGAAGAGCTCATAATTACAGGGATACACAGTTCAGTCCGTATTGCCCAGAGAAAGGACATCAGTAATGTTACAATCTCGTTCTTTAGAGCTCAAAAGCTGCTTGTTTTCCTTTCTTTTGTTTTTGACCAAAAAAAAAATAAAAAATTGCACTTGTTCTTGTGGCCTTCTTCACTTTTAAGATTGTCTGCCCACCCTTGATTTTCCATTCACCATTTTTGCAGAAAGCATTTTAGTTGTCAATCTTGTATTAAAACAAAGGGTTCTCCTTTTTCCCCTTACATTTACAAGAATCTAAAGCAGCAACAAGGTCCCCATGAAAACTTGCTATTTAATTGTCCCAGTTCTTGTTGAGTGCTGCTGTGGAAAGTGACACACTTCAGCCATAGGCCAGTACTTTTCTTAAGAGTTGGTGCTCAAACGAAAAGAATTTCCTTTCAGATAAGGAGCGGGTGCACCTGTCAAATTCCAGGACAGGCCCCATCTCTGTGCTGGCTCCATGTGTTTTAGACTCCTGCAGAAAAACTGCTGTGGGCTCTACTGAGGGATTCAAGTAGTCTTTATTAAGGTATCACCCCCACAAATAAGTAGCGTTGCTGGTTGTACTTCTCTACTCTTTTAAGTTGCTTTTCAGGAGGTTTGCTTTAGTTCATGCTCTTTCCAAGACTGAATTTATACACTCTGTTCTCCAACAGATTTTGCTGTTGAGGCAGGGGGAAGCTATATTTATGAAGAGGGTGTAAGAACAGTGCTTAAAGCCATGTGAAGTTCCTCCTCCCTTTCACCACCCATTACAGGGAAACAAATAGTAGAACAGCATAACAAAGGGCAGCTTATTTAACAAGCTGCTCTTCTTGGAATTAACTGCACCTGTTAAACTAATATCTATGCTTAGAATTGTGTTCATATCTTATATGGTTTTCCTTCTGACATAGCTCTCGCTTTTGTTTGGTGTTGGTGGTACTTTAATAAAAAATGCAGCTCTACTGACAAGTAGCGGTGAGCCTGCTGTTCTCATCCATGTGATAGTGTTGAAATAAAGAGCAGGGTCTTGGGGATGTAATCAAATTGAGCGGTGCTCCTAAGTCACCAATACATTTTGCTGGCCTATGGATGAAAGGAAGCCATCACGGAGCAGAAAAAGCATGGCTGATAAGAGCCCATTTTTGTTAATCAAATATTCATTAAAGGAATCTTTCCTCTGCACACGTTCCACCCCCCTCCCACCCCCCTTTTGGAGTTCCCCTGATTGGCAACTGTTTTCTTTTTTCTTTAATCCCTGGATTTGTAAAATTTCTAACAAAATATTGTCTGAACCAATTCTACACAATAAACATTTGTATGCCCGATAACTTGTTCCTTATTTCAAAAACAAGGAGGGCGCTATGCTCTTTTCCAACATGATGGCAGTCATTTCAGATGATTGATAGAAGTCTTTTTTTTTTTTTTTTTTGTCATTTGTTGGGAGTTACTAACCACATTGTAAACTTGCCCCCTTGCTGCATATTTTACATTTCTCTGCTTTACTGAAGTATGAATGAGCTGTCAGTTCTTTGTTTAGAAAGTGGTAACCTTGGAAGTGTTAGATGTTTCAATACCTTCACAGAATTAAAAGTGCCCATTTTACAATGAAAATTCCACTTGCAGCTGAAAGAGCAGAGAAATTTAAATGGAGCTTTAGCTTCAGCCACTCTCTGAAATTAACATGAAGTTTTTGCTTCTCTGCTCTTTTCCCACTGTAGGTGGTTTTTTCATTGACAGTCCCTATTGCCAGCCTCTCAGCATCGCACCTTTTATTATTCACTTGGGCCCTCAAGATTTCTTCTCTGACTTCTAGAACCATCAGGTTGTGTGGCTCCAAATGGCATTTTGTACATGTCTTAAAAGCAAGAACAAAACTGGCTCGTTTTGAGGTTTCTCAACTTCAGACATGGAATCTGAGGTGTTTTGTTTTTGTTTTTTTTTTTTCTTTTTTCTCTCAAAAGTGTTTCTCACTTCTTGAACTTTGTTCCATTTAATGAAAAGCAATACTTACTTCAAGCCACAGTCCTTTCTTTGGGTACATAGCAATAGATGTGTATATACTTCTGGTTATTTCTTTACACTAGAAGGGAAGAGGGGGGAACAAAACAAGACTTTAAACCTCATAGGGTGCTTGCTTTAAGCAGTGAACCCACATTTACTTTCACTATTTAAGTATTTCAGAATTTTAATACTATGACTGTATTTGCATGTTTCCTATAAAAACTGCTACGAACAGTTGCAATGGTCGCTCTTGAAGCAGTAGTGCTTTGTACCATTGTACATGTCAGCAGACATGAAATGTAGCAAAAAGCTGGAAGAAAAAATAGTCTATTTTTCTCCAAAATATAACTAAATGTTATTCTTTCTCTCTCTCTCTCTCTTTCTTTACCACATCATTAATATGAGGCACAAAAAGGGTAGGCCTGAATTTGACTTTGAAATAGTTCTTCTGTGTCTCTTAAAATCATCACCAAATGATAGGAAATTGTAGTATTTGATAAATCTTCGATTCAAAATCTTTGCTTCTCTAAATTTACTAGTGAGTTTGTTGGTTTTTTTTCCTCTTAAACTTGTATGTTGATATTCTGAGATTGTGAATCAGTAATCAGCAATAACTGAAAGGTAAATGTCCTTGTTTATTTAAATGGTATTGGAACATCTGTATATTGCAGTTAAGACTTTTAAGCAGTTTTCAGCAGGTTAATACCACTTTATTCTCATTCTCTCCGGACCTCCATAGCCATATGCACTTGTATAAAATAAGCAGAAATGTAATGACTGTAAGCTGAGATCGTGATGTAAAAGGTAAGAAATTTTATTTTAAGCTTAAAGAATATTTTTATTGATTTTTTCTAAAAATCTCACATACCTGTGACAATCTTGTATATGGCAGATTTTTATTATGTTTTGTTTAACTGTAAACAAGTAATATGCAGTTTTGGATTCCAACTTCATGTTTTTCAAGGCCACTTCAAATATTCCAGTTTCAGTTAATAATATATATATTTCTTAATACTTTTAAGAAATAGTTTGGTTTTATCAACAGACTGTTCTTCAGATACCTTTCTCTAGCACAGCCTAAAAAGCTGTATTGATAATGCTGTGTATCAGGCACCGCATTCCTTGCATACTTGTGGAAAACATTTAGGTAGGTACTAAAGCCTGGCCATGGCCTGTACTGAAAGCCATACCATGGTTACAGTTATGTGAAATAAAAATGTGAAGTGGAATGTGTGGTATTATCTAACTAACAAGAGAGAAATTATTTCCCTAAACTAATAAAGCCAAACTCCAAACGGAGAATGAAAGACTTTGATGATGTTAGTTTAAATCTGCAGAGATCAAATTACATTAGGCCAAATTAATTCATGAAGCAGCCAGGTTTGCTTTCCTCTTGTGGGTGCAGTGGGAGGAGAGGAAGGCAGGCAGGAAAAGATCTAACTGTGCATGAATAAATTGTTTGGCTGTAGTTTTCTAAAGCTAGAAATTAAGACAGGGGCCTCCATAAATAATTATCTTCAGTTCTGTAGTAAATGTTTTAGATGATATTTTACTTGGAGTAAAATGATTTTGGATTATGACTTATATGGTGCACATGATATGTGTAGTTTTAAGATATTTGTTTTTTTAATTTGCATTTATATAACCTTACATTATGCAAGATTGCATAGCACAGTACTGCACAACTGCAGTACCTGCAGTACTTGAAGTTGCTGGAAACAACTCTTTTATATTAAAAAAAAAAAAAAAAGCAAAAAAAAAAGCAGGGGATTGATGATGTATTAGTGTTTTAGGGTCTCAATTCAGATATGAAAGCATTAAAAAACCCTGACTATCACAGTTTATACTGATGTAAAACAGAAAAATACTTGGTATGAAATATGTAGTAAATCAAGTCTAAAGCTTGTTGTTTTGCATCAAAATATAACAGCAAAAATAAACTATGTTTCTTTTCAATATTGAAAATACCAAATTCAGTAAATAACTGCATGTGTAGGTTCTCCATAACTCAGGATATGCCTGGATAAAGTACGTAGGTTGATGTAGAAAAATAGCTGTCAAATATTGTTGGTTTTAGTGATGTTGGAGGAAACCGGATGTTGCAAGTGGCCTATGTATCTGCACCTGGAGAAATTTAAGTTCAGGAACTTTACCAGTGACTTGCCCACCAAAGCACATAACTGTTTGATTACATTTGCAGGTGCAATTGATGAGCCATCAGCATGACCTTTCTGTTTGGTGGTGCAGATTTTCATCTGCTGTTATCTTCAAGGTATAAATACAGGGTTTGGTCTGAAGCTCACTTAATGTTCAATTATTTGTTCAGCCTTGTAAGGCAAAGCAATCCTGATAGTGGAGCAGCAGGCTGCTCAGTTTCCTCTGAAAGACAGTGTTTTATATGCTTCAAGGCGATGTTAAGGCACATTATAATGAACTTCTCTTGAGTATTCCTTTTGTAGGTTTAACTGATAACAGTCTGACAAGCAGCTTATCTGTCCAGTTCAAGGACTGATTAATAACTTCTTAACTGACTTCTTTGATCTCTCTTTGTGGCCTGGATTTGGCAGCTTTATCCATTTGTATTGGTTTGCATCAGCATTGTTTTGACTGTGAATTTCCATATTTTTCTGTCATTACCCTTTTAACTCTTAGAATTGTAAGCATTCTGCCCTTCTGCTTTTTTGGCATTTTCACTTTCTTGGATCTTCTCCTCTTTTTCAATGAAAAGATACTAAATTTCTTTGGTATATTTTTGCTCAGTAGACAAACACTTAGGTCCCAAAATTGTCCCCTTGGCTTTGCTGCATGCCTTCGCAATAGGAAGGACACCATTTCCTGACATGAAGTACACGCTGTACTTGAAACTCCTAAATCCTGGTTTTGAAGCCATTTGGAGTTAGTGACAAGACCCTAATGTGGGTGCTAGGACTGCCTAGTGCCTAGGACTGTCTCATTCATGGTTGTACTTGAGCAAAACATTCACATGTTCTGAAACATCTTTCATGTAGGTTCCACAAGTGCCTAATACATTGGCATTTGAGAGAACTGTTACGGACTGCATTCTATTCCAGCAGGTATTAACCTAACCAAAATACCAGGCTATTATTTGATGAGTGATTTGAATAACATCTACTTGATCAATGTCATCACAGCCACTGTTCTGCTAAGGCAGAATTAGAAACTGCTTTCTTTTGCCTAACACTTTCAGGTTTCCTTCGAAAATCCACCTCACCAAGAGAATGGTCTGAAGTGCCTTTTCTGAGAGATTGAGATCTGTTAGTTGATGGCTACCAAGCTTTGTCCTTCTGGATATATAAAGCAGTCAATGTGGAAACCTGGTTCTATGTGCTCTGTGTAGCTGCTGCTATCTTTGCCAATTCTGCAGTACCATTTATGTGAAGCAAAAATATTTTACAGTTTGAATTTCTGGTTCACGGAAAAGAATTCTGAAAAAGTTCCTTTGAACTACTACATATCAATAGGACACTTGGGAAAGTCTGTATCTATTCACTTCCCACCTTAATTCTAGTTTTAGCTAACCAGATGCCAGTATGTATTTTGGGAGATGATGTCTGGCACTTAAAGGATTAAAAGAAACCAGAGCTTTACAATGAAAAACTGACCTGTTTAGTGTGTTACCTGGACTAGAGATGAATGGCATTAACAATGACTTTGGAAGTATAAATATGAACTTGGGTGGCCTGGTTGGTTGACGTGGAGGGAAGTGAGGCTATTTACAGAATAGCAAGATTAAAATACAGGCTGTTCTTTGTTTACTTTTATATAGCTGTTCTTGCATACAAATCCACAATCACACACAGTGGCTTTCCCTTTCTAACAGTTTGGATTTTCTAGAACCATGTGAGGGAGAAATGTACAAGCAGCCTTTTGAGTTGTCAGATTGGTATCTGAAGCGGCCGTGCAGGACAGCAGTCTTCACAGATGGAAACCTCTAAGTACAGTATACTGCTAGCCATACCTCAGCATTTTTCTTCCTGATGGTTGAATGGCAGCTGGAATGGTTGTCATTTTCCCAGATAGGAAACTGTGACTTGTGAAGAAATAACATATTTGACAAGGGAACTTAAATCCTACTTTGCCAGCTACATGAAATTTCTACAGGCACGTTCTGTCTAAAGAAGGGTTTAAGGCAACAAGGTGACTTTGGAAGGAAAGTGTTATCTTGAGCTAGTGTCTTAATTGTACATGAGACAAACACCATACAAAAATCTGCCTAAACCTTTTGAGACATAATTCCATCACCAGCCTTTGCTTGAAAGCCTGTACATTAAAGTACCAGGGTTGAATGACTGTGAAAGGACTTGGCGAGCTGAAAGCATGGCACACGATGCTTCCTGCCATCGTATCCTCTCTCTGCCAGTGCTTGCTGTCTACTTTACGCATGCATTCTGGAGCTGGAACATGGTGACCTTATTCCTGGGCATTGAGCCATACAGATGGAGGGAGGCCAGCCTATACCCATGAAGGGACTGTGTAACACGCGGCCTCTGTTGCCCAAGCAATTTCTCTTGGACACAGTACACAATCCAACCCTCACAAAGGCAATTTAGTGCCTGGGTAGGTGGTTCCTAATCTGTCTAATTTGCTGTCATGCAGCCAATGTGAGTTAATTAGATGATTCAGCAATTGTCGTGGTTCCCAGTTAATGTGCTGTAAACCCTGCTGCCCTAAGTTTCACTGGAGCTGAATCCCTTTGCTTCTGTGAATGCTGTGCTTCCCGCTGCCTTTTCTGATCTCCTCTAGCGTTCCAGTAAATAACCAAGTCTCTGAAGTTACAGAATCTTTATGTAGCTGTTTCTAGATTGTTGAGAATTTCTAATAAGCCAATGAAAAGCTTTAGGGAACAAGTTTTCCTACAAACTTATTAATGTGCCAAGACACTACTATTTTTACTCATATGCAAACATCTGTGAGAAATACTCTGGTATCTCTGATCACTTGAAAGGGCACTAGTACTCATTCTTTAAGGATACTTGTCTTCTGGCAGAAAAAATAGATTTATTTAATGTTTGTCTTAGTTCTAAAATTATTTGTGCATTTTTCCTTTCATTGGACTACTAAGAGAAATTTCCCTGACCACAAGTTTCTTGTATTAATAGGAAGTAGAAAATGAAGGAGTGGCATGAAGACTTTTCAGGTGTTCTAAGAAAAAAAATCTCCTTGTTTGGCTGTTCAACTATGGGACACCAATCTCCTGGCAATTCTAAAATTCCAAGATAGCAATAAACGTGAGCAGCTTCAATGTACTATATTTGATCCAATCCAGCAATGTCCTCAGAGAACGAGTCTGACAGTCCCTGTGTTTTCAGTCACTGATCTCTGACAGAAACAGTGTAGAAGCACATGGGTCCCTAGCTTTGTTTTTAATTCTCCATCTGTACTTAAAGAGTCCATGGGTCATCACAGTCTAGCAATGAGATTCCCAAACATCTCACCAGAACTATGTAAACTAAGAGCTAGCACAACATTATAATATTTGAGTCTTAGACAAAATTCCAAGTTTCCCTCTGCATCCTTTGCTCTGTAGGCTAAGATACAATCATTTTGTATTAGAACTTAGTGCCTTTAGATAAATCCTCTGTAGTCAGTTGCTTGCTAATAATTAAAGGGAAAAATATGTCTTCCACCTTCAAATGAGTTCCAAGTCACATCAGCAGCTTACAAAAAAAAGGCTCCTACTTCCTGAGGCTCTGGGAAATAGCACAAGACCTCTGCCAGGGCAGATTCTTTTGGATACATGATGAGATACACAAATATAAAGTTTAGACTGCTGTTCTCAGTCATGAATCACACTGGGGCCTCTTCTCTGGCAACAAAAGAATGAAAATGAGGTCTCTGCTGGACTTACAGAGAAGTTCTGTTAACGTACAGTTGTACTGTCTTAAGAACCAGTAACTGAGCTTGAATTTTCAGGACACAGACCCTCTCAAGTGTCCTGCTGGAAGAAGTTACGGAAAAATTAGATACTTTGCTGACTTGTTTAAAGAGATGCAAAGGTATAGCATAGTTGCAGCCACTATTCTTAGTATATAGACAGCTTGTCTAACAGCTCATTGGTTCCAGTCTCCTGTTTTAGGAGATCTGGTTTGCTGTGAAACTGAGTCCTACTGTAAAGTAGAAATGCTGTTGCAGTCATTTTAGAGCAATTCACTGAAGAAACTCAGCACTGGAGTCCTACCCTTACAGGTTGTGGCAGCAGTTTTCACCTCTATTTTCTTTTGAACATTAACCACTTCAGCTGGTAATTTATTGTTTGACATTAAGAGAATTCACATCACAAAGCTGCTTTATTACTTAACCCCTGAAGTTAAGTCTCCTTAGCTTAACTTCTCTCATCTAATTCCATACCTATCTGTGTGTAGGTTCTTTAGTGCCCCAAGACATCTTTCTGTTTCCCACTGTACTCACAGAAACAAGAGTTATTCAGTTATTTATGTGCAACTGATGTTCAAGATAATAAAACAGCATGAATAGGACACATACAGACCTGTTCCTCTAGCCTGGTGTTTTCTATGAGAGAGGATGCTCTTTCTGCTAGACCTGTCTAATACTGTGTAGGCAGTGCAATAGCTTATTAAAAGTAGTTCTGTGATCTTTTTAATAAAAAAGTTCATCTTATATTAAGATTTAAATTCAGTATTTTTTTCTCCAAGTTCTGTGGCTATGTGAAAACATTCAGACTAAATGCTTACCTTGACACTTAAGAGGAGTTGAGTAATCTAAAGTGCTAAGTAGAGATGTACAGTTCTAAATCTAATTTCTTATGTTGTATGTTGTTTTAACTTGTATTCGGTGCCTTAACTCTGTACAATCTAATGTTATCTATACTGTACCACAGGTAGTTTAGTGGGTAAGTGTATTTTAAAAGAAGTCATCAAGCTAGGCTACAGAAACTGTAGCAAGGACAAGCCTTCTCAGTGTGAGTTCTCCTGCATGTTTAACTAATAATCCACTGATAAACAAAACCTGAAGAATTTAAAGACTATATAAACTTTTTAACTACGAAATGGGACTGAATGTATCCAATTTCCAACTTCAAAGGTTTGTGGCAATGAGATAAAGGTACAATCTCTTCTATGTTGTGTAAGTAAACTTCAAACTGGCCAGAAGTGTGTGTTTGTGAAAACCTACGGACTCTTATCTTTACTAGAACAAATTGCACTAGAAGGTATTAACTGAATGTAGTTTAGAAGGGTATTAATGGAATGTAGTCTATTATCCTTTATCCACTGGTACAGGGGGCTTGGAATGAGTCAGACTTGCAGTTAATGTTTAAGTCCAAAATAGTATGTGAACTTAAGCCTCATTCCTGCCTCTTACCTGAATCTAGAAGCTCCAGGTGCCTTATGCTGCTTTGCAGTTTGCAAGGTGTAGCACAGCTTCTACTTGAACACACATTTGCTTGCTGAATGCACCTGGTCCTGGTAGAATGGACTGAGGCAGGAGAGAGAGAGAGAGAAGAAAACAATGAAGGTAGAGTGCACCTCTCCAGTCTTAGGTTAAGTAGACAAGGAAGATGCACGGAAAGCTGCACTGCCTTTTCCAAGGCCATAAATACAGTCTCTGGAAAAAACAGGACATTTGTCTATGGTGGTAAATCAGCAGCCTTAGTACACCAAGAGCAATGAGGAAATGGTATTGTTTTTTCTATAGCTTGTATGAAATTAGATAAGAGATTTAAGCTACCCATATTACAAGCTAAAAATCTGCTGGAGCAGATTATACTTTTTTCCTGCTTCAATAAACAGGTATAGGTTGGAAAGAGGAACAGGAGCAATCCAATGAATCACAAAAGGGTTTGAGTTGGAAGGGACCTTAAATATTACCTAATTCCAACCCCCTGCCATGGGCAGGGACATCTCCCACTAGACCAGGATACTCCAAGCCCATTCTTCATATCTAATCTAAAGCTACCCACTTGTAGTTTAAAATTGTATTTGCTGATGCATTGTTATCCGCAACAGGGAGACTCCTCCATGCAGTATATAAAGCATACAACTGAATTTTGTCAGGGAAAGGAATACTAGTAATTTTCCCTAAAGGAATACTAGTAACTTATTGATACAATGACCATGGTATTCTAGACAACCTGCCTTTGAGAAGAGCAGCATGGTAACAAAGGAAAGCTGATACTGCTCCCACAGCTACATGTTGTAATGTACATACTTCAGGTCACTAATACTGGCATAACTAGTTATGACAAGATCAGTTCATCTTACCAGAAAAGACATTTTATCTGCTTCTATCTTTTAAGCTACAAGGGAGTTAATTATAGCACAGTAATTTTTCTAAGGCAGTAGAGCAGAAGGTAAGTTTCAGCTTTGTGCTTCGAAACTGCTGCAAATAAGTTAATTAACAGTGTTCCATGGAAACAACCTGACGTACTTATTTATTTTCTTTGTGCTCATTTCTGTGTTCTTAGAAAAGCACAAGCTTCTATAAGCATAATCAACACAAAGTTACTCAGGGTACTGTGTCATCTCAGCAGTGGACACCAACTTGCATCTTCAGTCAACAGGCACATGTAAATCAAGCTTAATTAAGCGGAACAGAACATCTTGGCAGGTTTGCTTTACTACTGGCACTGTTACAATTTAATGATCTATGCATATGGAAATATGCGTATTCCTGCACTCCCAGTATAAGTTAGAGTTCTGCAAGATCATCCTGCAACAAAGTAAAATGTGGTCAGTGTAGAAGCAAGTATTATTTCCTCGTTATTTCCATAAAGGGCTGTTTATAAGCAGTTGCAAAGTGATACTACTCAAAGCAGAATAGCTGTGCGCTGAAGAGCACAGCTATTGGAAAATTAGTAGTGATATAAATTTAATAACGAAACAACTCTACCATACAGATTATTTCCTGTGTTTTCAAACTAGTATCCCTGCTTCCCTGCTCAAAGTAACAGGATAAGACAAGTGTAGTTTTCCAGTAACACGTATTGCATGGAAATGTACTGGACGAAAATGGAGGCTGTACTGCTGAGAGCATATTCTACTATACAGAGCCATTCTCTGGGCAATGCTGCATAATTTAAGAGTGGGTAAACATGCCTTCAGGGACAACAGAACACCAAACAGATGTTTTTTTGTTTTTTTTTTTTTAAATACACAAAAAAAATCAAAACAAAAACCAGAAAAAAGCCTTGAAGCTTTGTCCAGTCATACACCTATTCTTCCCTGAAAAAAATAGACAGGTACATCCAGATGTGCTTAGTGAGTTACAAACCAGGTGACACAAAGGCCCTTAAGGATGAGTGTTTTACAGATAGTCTCCTTTTGGCCGGAAAAGAAAGGAAGTTGACGCCGTCTTCCAGTTCCAAAGCTCAGTGTCTTATTTCTGATCCTAACCCTAGAGCAGTATTTATTGATCAAACTGACTAAGCTTTTTAGGTCGATGAGCTCTCCGCAAAGCAATTCTGTTCTCCTCTCAAGCCTCTGCAGGGGCCAACAACTGGTGCTTAACTACTGCTTCCACTGCAGAATGTCACCTGTCCTCCAGCTGGCCCAGGCATTCTGGGACACTTGCACTTCTCAGAGCAGCGCTGCTGTGGGGGCACCCAGCAGAAGTGCTGCAGTAACACAGCAGCACAACCCCCGCTGGGCTGTATGCTTTCTCAAGTCCCACCCAGGTCTTAGTGACAAAGCTGAGCATGAAACCTGTACCGCCAAAACTCCTGCCCTTTAATGAGGACATCTATGGGAAGGAGATGTGAATCTGGTGACTTTGAGGAAAGGTTGGTGTCTTCCAAGTCCAACTCATCTCACAATTCTTTTGTTCCCCAAACAGTTGAGCTTCCATCCACCATTCACTGTCAGTCTAATTTGTTCAAATAATTACTGCTAATTTGGGCTAAAATACCCCCTTGTGTAACCCAAACTACCACCACCAATCCACCTGAAGAATTTTTTTTTTAAACAAAGGATCATCTGGAGGCAGATCACTGCTAAGAGTATGCATACTGCAAGGCAGACAGGAGCTCTGGCAATGCAGTGCAGTGCTCCTTTTCTGATGACAATTACGCCTACAAGACAAGAAAAAGACTGAGGCAGTGCTTTGGGGCAGTGTTTCATGCTCAGCAAGTTCGCAGAGGGAAGGAATGCAATTCTATAAATCACTTGTACTGTATTTCTGTTTCTAGACTTGAATGAATTTCACTTTTCCTTTGTGGGTCAGCATAGTAAACATTAAAGAAAAGGACTATTTTTATAAATCTCTTTCACCAATAGAGAGGTCTGACCTGCAGCCACCAGATGGACTTAATTATCCATAGAGGACAGAGTGTTTATTTTTACACTAAGATTACGTATGATATTGAATAATACAAAATATGGCCTTTGAACTATCTAAACCTTAAATCCTATCACCAAATTCCATAAGTTAAGTAATACGGTGGACAATTCCATCCTTCTTCCTAATAAGTCTCCCTCTCAAAAGAAGTTACTCAGAAATAAATTTCCGAATGAAGTACAGGAGATCCTTGTGGTCTAATTACAGAATACTTTACAAATCAGGAGGCATCTTAAATATTTTTAATAAAGTGAGCTGTACGTACTCACTAGCTAAAAAAGCCTGCAAATGTAAAGTAAATGGAATGCTCTTTGGACATGAAGTTGCTTCCTCATGTGATGCTGTACCCAGTACACTTGGCTTCATTTGGCTTCTGTGTTGTGGTTTATATGCCAGCCACTGTTCTGAACTGTACACAACACCGATATTTGCACTGTAACCTTGATTCATTTGCCACTGATTGTAACCCAATGCTACGGACTTCTCTGTATATAAAACCATAACCATGTCCCATTTGCTTCCAATAGCACACAATAAAGGCTTATCTCTGTAAATGGGAATTATGTCCTTATGACTCTTTTTTTAATTATTTTGTCTTCAGTGAGGAAATTGGCTTTAAGGTTTTTCTGAAGCCTGGGGAGCCAAACCACAGAAGTCCATTCTGCTTTAGGCAGGAGGCTAAGACAGGCTTCCAAGGCTGCGGTCTGATCAGAGGCGATTGTTAGCAGAGCTGTGTCATGGAGATGGAAACGTAAAGCACATTTACACCGCCTGTACCGAGCGGAATGCCTTCCGTCACAGAGGTGAATAAAGCATGCAGGACTAATGTTTGACACACACACTGACATGAAGGGCCACTGCACAGAAACACCGCCTGGTGCTAGCCAGCGGCAGCAGTAACAAAAGCTCAGGAAAGGCTGCAATGAGACTAGCCAGGAAAGCAACCTGTACTTCAGAATAAAAACATTCATTTTCTAGCATGTAGTTAATTGGTAAATTGGGATGCTTATTTTCTTAAAATATAAATTACACAAATGTTAAGTTCTTTCTCAAACTTCTATTCTTGTTGCTCTCCCTTCACTGCATTTCCTAGAACATTCAATTCCCGTGGTCCTGGTTTGCCCTCTGAGGTCTGGAGCAAACCCAAGCCACTTCCCTGTCCACAGTCACTGAAGGCCCTGAGGGCAGAGGGAGAACTGTGTGCCTGTTTGCTTGAGGCTGAATCCCACGGCAGGCTTTACTGAACATGTGTATGTCCAGGTGTCTGCAGTTAGAGAACACGCTTTTAGTCTAGAAACCAAGATAGAGAAGGTGTTTTACCAGATGGCCTTACCTTTCCTTCAAAGTCTTTTCATGGTCTTTAATTCAGCTTTTCAAGTCTAAGTGCAGAGCTCATTAATCAAATTCAGAGGAGTTCAACCTCGAGGAAGGTTTTAAAACCACTGTGAGCTGACTATAGTTGAGAGCTCTCTTAAACAAGAGAATTGTGGAAACCCACAGTTTAGCATGTATGGCACTGGGAGTAAGACGTGGTGTGTGACTTCTGTACTCAACAACACAGTGGGCAGCCAGCTGAGTCTGCTGTTGTGAGGCAAACAAGTCAGTTGTGCACAGAAGAGCTATTGAGGGACCTCTGTGCCAAAACTGACTAAACCATGTTTCCTTTTAAAAATGCAGAGCTGCATCAAATATTTAGCAAGTAAGAGCCATAAAGAACTGGCCTTAACCATTTAAAAAAACACCATTAACACTTGGCTGAAACAGAGGCCGCTTTACCCTATACACTGACATCATACCGTGCCTCTGTACATGCTGCCTGGCTTACTGAGAGGTCATTCAGAAAGCTACCTCAGGATTAGCATCGCAGAGGTGCCAGGAAGGCTGACAGCTCTTCAGCCATAGCCTGACAAGTGCTGTTCAGTGCCAGCTACAGAAATGCCCTGGGTCCGCTCCAGGAGCTGGCGGATAGCTGTGGCCTCAGAGGAATGGAACAAGGGGTAGGCAGGAGAGTGGCACACAGAAGGCAGTATGATTTGGTTCCAGATCAATACGGGAGGCTAGCACGCCACCCTTCCTCCCTGTGAAACTGCCTGAGGTCGCCGACTGACGTTCCCTGTCCTGCTGTAGCTAACCTGAACTTGCCGAGGCAGCTGCATGGAGCCTTGGCGTAGAACAGGAGGCTGCTCATTGTGGGCCCCATGGACACAACACTGCTCCACCTACTCCCCACCAAACAACCAAAAGGAACCACAAACGAGCACCCAAGTCTGTCTGCTTTCTCTCTGGGTAACGCAATGTCTTTACCACGCCAACACCCAGTGCCACCAGCCTGGGGCTAAAGGCAGGCAGGGAACTCTTCAGCAGCCCACAGTCGCTGGACTGTACCAGCCCCATCCCTTGCAGGCACAGCACGGAAGGGACCATGCAGCAGGAACCAGCTTCTTAACGGGCAGGAAGCCTGGTTTCTCTTGGTGCAATCAGCATCAACTTAAAGAACTGTATTTGATACAAACAAAGCTGAATAAATGATTTATTGACTGATGTCCATGTAACTAGCAACCCAGCTTGTCGCTTCCACGTGGCCTGATGCATCTCTAAACCTGCCCCAAAATGCAGAGAACCAGCTCTAGTCTCATTGTGCAATAAGCACACAACACCAAATAATGCACATTCCGTGTCCTACTGCCTCTTGACTTACTGATGCAGTTTGATTTATCTAGGCATCAGTTCCCTTTCCTCATGAATACAGAACAGGTCCCAGCTGCAAATTTTTGTCCCAGGCAGCGGGGATGCTGGTGGCTCCTATTTACTCAAGAGCACGCTCACAGCCTGTGTACAGCAGCCACTAAACCATCCCTCACGGTGGTCTCCTCTAATGCTGGTCTGTTTCAAAAGAACTGGAAAATGGTAAGGAAAAGCAGTTAATGCAGAGTGAAGTAGAGATCTTGATAGTGCCTCAAACAAGGATGTCTGCCTTCCCCAGGCTCACAGATACCTCCCACAAGGCTGCTAGACACAACTCATGTTGCCAGGTTTCCTTGACAAAAGATCAGAAGGCTCTTGGTTCAGCGTTCAGGTCTCTGAAAACTTCCGAAGCCAGCAGTCTGAGCCACACCTTGCCAGCAGAGACGGGCAGCTTGGTTACAGCCCCCACGTGTCACCCACTGCAGACGTAAGCATGGGAGCAACCCGTTTTGTTCTGCAGGGAGCCGGCAAGAAGCCCGACCATGGAGCTACCTGCTGGATGCCAATGTAGTCCTCAAAATGTCATCCAACACACAACTTCAGCACTCTGCATCAGGCCCACCACCGAGCCCCTGCTCTCTCCAGTGCCACGCAATCTCCCTCACCACTGCACAGCTCCCGACCAGAATTTGAGGTTTACTCAAGTACCACCCATCCTCACGGGGCTAGCTGTCAATAAATCACAACAGTAATTCCTTCACCATGCCTGTCCCCTCTGCCAAGCTAGCACCAATTCTTTCTGAACAGCACCCCTGCTGCGAGATGAGAAATGTCACCTCGCTTAATTGCTCACCACTTAATGCTGACTTTGGTCCTCTGCTGCAGATTGAGTTCCAGCAAGTCAGCTAGAAAGAGCTCTTTCCCTCTTGCCAAGCTGTAAATTATCTTTCCCTTTTGCCAGCCCAATCCTTGGTACTCCACTGAAAGAAACTGGAGCTGCTAACATTTTCAGGGCCCTGAATTCATCCCCATTTTGGGGTATACGTTCCAGCAGATTTGTAAAGGTACAAAAAGCCTGCGTGTGCTCCTGTCACAGCAGTACAAAAAGGCCCTCTCTTGTTCCAGATACGAACACAGAGCAAAAACCTGAAGAGGCCTCTGGATCCCCAAAAAGGGTCATACACCCTAGCGCAACTCACACTTCCCTCTAGTGCCCCTTCCTTAGGTGCTGACACACACCAAAGATAGGATTTCCTGCTCGCAGGAAGAGCAGACCCAGCCCCCTGCTCATTAGAAGTTATTCCAAAAGGATTTTTTTTAAACTAGGCAATTCTGATTACAGCAGAAGACAAACTACAGCTCAAGCAAATCAAATTACATTGCCCTCCAAAGCAGTTCCAAACTCCTACATGGTGACACTGCAGGGCTTGGTGTAGCAGAATCACTGCATGCAGCACAAAGAGCCTGGGGACAGGGCTATCAGCTGCAAAATGCAGGTCAGTTATCCCTATTTTAATGAAAGATGTTGTTAAATGCTGAAGATACATAGCCTGCAGCCTGGGGACTGCAGAGATCTGTGGGTGCCTCAGTTTCAGCAATGAATAAACAGCTGAAAGACAAAAGTGAGACCAAGTCCCAGTGACCAGGTAAGTATGAAGAGAGCTTTCTCCATCTACTGTTAGTTACATTTACTGTTAAGACAGTTATTCAAAAAGCCTTTCTTATGCTGGTTTCTTAACCAGGTTTAAAAAGGTTGAAAGTTTTAAAGGTTTAAAACCCCAGATGAGTAGCCTGGTCCAAAGTGACTTTGAGGGCTTCATTTCTATGTGGTCTAAGAAGAAAGGTGCTTCAGAGAAAGCCAGGAGGCAGTCTGCAAGCCTCAGCTCCACCTGCCAGCTCTCATTCGGGGCAATTTATCGCAGGAAGAGTGAAAGCAGAGCCCTGCCGGCACTGTGCCTGGCTGAGGACTGATTGCTCCTACACAACAGCTTTGTATCCAGAGACAGAAGGCACAGAAATCAATAAACCACACCAGTGATACCACCATGTAATAAAATAAAATAAAGAAATAAAATCTCTCCCTCGTACCTCTAGCTGTACAGAAAGCTGAGCATCACAACTTCTTTGCCATTATACCAATCTTTCCTTCACTAATTTTTCTCTGCATACAGCTGAGCTCCTTAAAGGAGGCATCTGTTAGAACACTGAAAGAAGCCCAGTGGAACCAGTCCACCAAGGCTGGGCTGCATGTCCAAGCAGCTATCTCAAGATATTTTATGCTCTATTTATTCTCTCACCTTGCTTGCTATGTTCACGAAGGGCACAAGGGTTACTCAGGGCTGTCTGGGACTACAACTGCTTTGTTTCATTACTGGAACAAAGTACAAATTAAACACCTGAAGGAAAAGACAATATCCTCCCTGCAAAACTTACAGAACAACAAAACAGGCCAGACTAGGAAAACGAAGCAGTGTTCAAGTGAAAGATGACGAACAAGTTAAATTCAAACATGTTAAACAGATCTCCCTGGGAACAAATGAGTGAAGACTTGGACAAGATCTGCAGCTTCCCAGTTATGCTACTTACCACTGGCCTTCTCACTCTGCCCTAACCATGTGCACCAGCAGTACCTGTGACATCTAAAGACATTGAAATGAGCTCAGAGCAGGCTGCTGAGCAGCTACCTGACTCTAAACTCAGTCTTTTACTGTGCTGCTGAGACTGACGGCACCCAGGAGCTCTACAGTTTGCTGTTCATGTCTGTACTAGCAGCAGCCATCTCATTCATAATTCACAGAAGTCTGGCACGGGCTTCCATAGCCCCTCTGGCATGCTGGGGTTTTCACCGTACCATGCAAAAAGCACTTTAAGGAGATGCACAGTCATCACCTCTTAGGAACACTGTCCCTTCCCCTCTGTGCTAGACAAGATCGTGTTCCACAAGTGATTCTCAGTGGGATTATGCAGCAGCCCTACTATGTCCCGGGCAGGTGGAGAGCTCAGACACACACTACTCTGTTAAAGCCTTCATTCTCCTCCTCTTCCCTATCCATTTGATCTGGCGCATTGTTATTAAATTACCATAAAACCACTTCTTTAAACTAGTACAAGCCTTCAGGGCACAGAAGGCATTAAGTCACTTCCCTCTTTTCTTGTCAGCCAAGAACTGTGCCAAAACCACAATGGGTTTCTACAGTATTCTTAAAGAACTGATAAAAAACTTTCACACTGTGAAAGCTGATAGCAAACACAGCTCTCAGCCTCATCTCAGCAAGTATTTTACTGCCTTTTCTCATGCACAGAAGCTGAGTGAAATCTGCAGAATTTTCTTTTCCCTACATGGGATCAACTGGCCACACAACAGATCATAAAACCTCATCAGGAATCATTCTAGTGTCACCTCCCAAAGTTCATTTATCAGTGTGGCTCTGAGGCCCCCCCTTACCCTGGATCACAGACAACTCTGTGCATTAACAGATGCTCACAGCAGGGAGTTTAAACACACAACTTTGATGTATTCATGGTTTTACGCTAACTGCGCACTCTGCATGAGGGCTTCTGCTTCCTATCTGGCAGGCTGCAAATCTCATCACTTCTGCACCTTCTGGCGTCTGAGAGCCCGCAGCGGCTGTGATTCTACCTGAAGCACTACAGAACCTTGCTACAAATCAAGACATTTGTCTTATGAGCTGTTGATTAGGAGAAACTCTGCAACCTTGGAACGAAAACAGTGTACTCATTTCTATAAACCAGCCGATACTCTACTTACCACCTCTGGAGACAGCCACGAACAGAGTTATCTGCACATGGAAGGCCCATGTGGCAGGATCACAGTAGAGCAAACAAACAACTTAGGTCACATCACACTAACTAACTCATCACTAAAGCTGATTAAAAAATACTTTTGTCTTAACATTTTAATTAAGCTGATTTTTTTTTAATCATATTCTTTTTTTTCACCGTAACATGGTTAAAATTTTGCTCTAGTATGCTCTGCCTCATATCTAAAGCAGTACTATTAAAGCAAGAGAGCAGCAGAAAAACTTATCAGTACACTAAGCCAAGTCCAAGATGTACTACAAATACATCTCACAGATTTACTTCATACATACTTAAATTTAAACACACTCCATCCTAGCAGATCTTTTTCATACAAGGTTATAACAACACAGCTTTCAGAACAGAAACTCACAGGACACTAACATGGAATGTCCTAGTCTTGTAAATACCCCTGGTTATCTCATAGATTGTAGATTTTGGATTTGCTAAAAGGAAATGAGGCTTCACACAGAGGCTTTTGCTAATGCTGGGCACCTACTGTCCTCAGATTCCTTGGAAAACTCCAGACCTAATGATCTGAGCCTTTGAGAAGAGCCTAAGCACACATTAAAACTGTCTCTGCTGCTGCAGACTAACAAATTGATTCCATAACAAATAAACATCAGGCCATGGTTTTCCTTCTTTAACTCTTCTCTGATATCCAGAATTAATGTGATATGCCAAGCAGACTGAATAATACACATAGTAAGGACAAGACAGCACCAAGACAATATTTATCTTGAAATCTGCATCTCTGGCTGGATGCTGTTTGGCATCCTGACAGACCCTGTCTTTTATAGTTCATTGCTTGAATTGCCTAATTGCTGAATTTTATTGAAATAGATTTTAGCTCCCTGCAAGTATGGCAAACTTTTAATTAAGCATTAAAAGATCATTTAACAAAGATTATTTCTGTTAAGAATCTTGTTATTTAACATTGCTCTTTAGAAGTCTTGCAGGGTCCAGAATTTTTACAGTACCATCTGCAATAATTTCATCTATGCCAATTTGGGCCAAATCTCATAATATAATTACTCAATTAAAAACAAAAATAATTTTAAAGAATTGCTTAACAAACTGCTTCTGCAGTTCTCAGAATATCTGATAAGTCATATTCGCCTCCCATTACCTCAGGATTAGAAACAAGAAAAGTTCTATTTACAGCAGTTTGTACCCTATAGAAATGCATCTGTATACATTAGATGTGAAAACACACAGGCTATTGATTTTTTACCTGTAAAAAAATAATTTCTGCATAGAAATAGCTTCCTTTTACACACCTGTACAACCATTGTCTCAGTGATTTTAAGATTTACAGAGGTAGGGCTTTTTTCTTATTCCAGCTTTCTTTACATCCAGCCTCAGAACACAGCTGACACCCAGCAGAGCCCACAAAGGGTGGAGGAAACCAGGATCTGCCTCACCCTGCACAGCAGCCAGCGACTTCCCTGGGTTCTCATCGTGGGCACAATGGCACTGCTCATAACATCACGAACCAAACGGTTTGAGCGCACGGCGCTTTGCCAGTTCTCAAGTCCTACTTCAAAGCTTGTCACGTTAGGAGGCCTCAGTTCACCTCTCAGCAAAGTTGGCACAAGAGAAGAACAAACCTGACTGCAACTGAGACAAAATGACATAAAAACCACCCCCTGCAACAGCAGGTGCTGATCCCACACCACACGAAGACCCAACCCCTTCCTCAACCCAGGGGGCCTACAGAGGACAAGCACGAGGGCAAAGCAATATAAATGCCATGTAAGTTAGAAAATGTGTACATATATGTCTTTTCCACAACAGCCATTAATGCCCTGCCACGTTCAGCACGCTATTCCTCTGAAGCACGACCACCCGCGGCCCTGCCCCACAGCCCCCGCTGCGCCTCACTCACCAGTGCCCCTCACCTCACAAAATGGCGGCGGAGGGGGAGCCCTGTGGGCAACGCCTTAGCACCTGCCTCACGAGCTGCCGCCTCCCATAGGTTGCTCCTGCTGCCAATCAGCAAGCGGCCTATCAGAGGCCGCTCTGCCACATGCGGGACACGCCCCCCCTCCTCAGGCGGGAACCGGGAGCGCCCCTGAGATGGCGGCGGCCCCGGGCTCTCACTGCCCCTCCCTCAGCCATGTGTGAGGCTCCAAAGTGAGTTCGGTTCCACTTAGCCCGTGTTCAGCAAGACCTTACACCATTGCAGGAGAACACGACTTTAAACGCTACAAATATTAAAGATGCTTTCTTAAAACATAGTCATACCTAGTCCATGCTTTCCCACCATCTCTGTGACTGGACTGCAGCTGTGTGCCTGGATTATCCTCAGAACAGTCCTTCAGCATGGGATTACACTGTATTTCATTAGCATGCAGAAAATGCAGCCAAATCAAATTCTCATTCCTCAAAGTCATTTTGGACACGTACCTGTAAATTCTAGTAAAACTCTATTAAAGGTTTTTGTGCAGTCTTTCATTGCCCTTAGGGATAGTGTTAGGGTTAGGAAAGATAATGCACAGTAAGAAAAAATAACGTGGGGGGGAGGGGTTGGATCTAAACTAGAAAGCAATTCTTGCTGTGTACACAATGCCTTATTTTCATTATTATTTTTTGATTTAAGCAGAGCCTTCATGCACCTGGTTGCCACTAGCCTCCTCGCTCAGTCACAGCGCAGCACGCGGGCCGGCGTGCCCAGGGACTGCCGAGCAACCCAGGCCGATTAAGCTCTTAAGTGAGGCACCTCCGTGAAGAGTCTAAAGTTAGGTTGGATGAACACGAGCCAAGCTGTTGAACAGATGGAGTGAAATCCTCCTCTTGATAACAGGAACTTTATATCACTGCCATGGATAAGAAGGGCAGCTAAAAAAAGTCAAGGAGATGGTTATATAAATTTCAAGAAGGCTTACCAGCAACACTTAAAGGTAAAGATTTTGATAGATCTAGAATATTCACTTCCATCTGAAGACCCTGCACAGCCAAGAAGCAGAAGATCTGCAACAGAAAGGAGATCGTAACACTGGAGCTACCAACGCTACAGAACCCTGGGAACGCAATGACGCAGCACAGAACACGCAAAGCTGGAGCCTGGGCCACACCAAACTCTTTAAAAAAAGTGGCACTTATTTTCAGTTTTGTGCACAAAGCCAGCTGAGAGGCATATGTGAATAGAAAGATAATTAACTACCAGGAGATAACTAGACATCTTATTAATGCCAAAAATGCTAACTAATACATTCATTCTTCTTTGCTTACATGCCTGTAAATACAAAGCTTATAGCAGCTTTGACACAATGTGTTTTTTTTTAACCTTGCTAATACATAGTTTCGAATATCTGTAAATTCATCTTCCTCTTCTTCAAAATGACCTGTTTTCCTTGTATTTCACATGTAACTAAGATTCAGAAGATATGCCTCTCAATGGAGGATCCAATTTTCTTAATTAGTTGTGAATATTTTAGATGGAGTCAGATGTGAAATATACTGGTAACATTCATTTCTGAGCATCAAAATCCACATTCCATGGCCATACTAAAAGGAATATATGCTGCATTAAGTTTTTAGGTTATGTTTACTTAGTGGAATAAAGCAACTCTTCCCCTCCTTTAAGTACCTAATTTTTGGAGGAAAGGAAGCTATACTATTTACCATTTCCCTTGGGAAAGGCAAATGGATTAATTCCTTTGGTCTTTGGTTGTTTCTTCTTCCCCATCTTTCACCTATTTGCCTTCAAACTTTCTCGAAAAGGTGTAATTACTGAGAAACTGCAGAGCTGAAATTGCCAAGGGATACCAGTCTGTGAAAGACAAAGCAGCAAAGACTACATGCAGCCTTATAATACCATTCTCTTACAGCAAAGTATGGTTAGAAAAATGACAGTGTGATAACAGCTTCCCAGAGTAGGGCTGCTTTCAGAGTCACCTTTAGTCATTTTGGTGACAAAAATACATTTTTACTCCTTGTTATCTCTGCAGAACACATGCAGTTAGGGGAGCCTGATCTGCACTGTGACCCAATTAGTGCATTCATCCGGTTGCGCTGCTAAACCCTACATTCAGCTATGACTAGAAGATCCTAGTGAAGATGACGTGAACAACACTTGACCCCACAGAATTTATGTTCCTGATGATAAGCAGAGCTAGGCTACATTTATTTTGCAGATCCAAGCAGAATTTGGAGGGTCATAGAAAAAAGCGTTCTAAATTGGACATATTTGAGAAATACTGAGTCACAAGCCTCAAGCTGCACAAGGTCATTTTTGCAGTTTCTTTTTTTCTAAGCAAAACCTAGATTTTATTATATAAAGCAGTGTTGGCAACATGAAGAACATGCAGTCTTTTTTAGCAAAGCCCTTTGCAGCAGGAATATAGTTTTGGTCTTACAGAAGCCTGCAGATCCTAATGCTTCTATTTTAAGAAGAAAATTGGTTTCATATTGCAAAATATTTAATGAATTTCCTGTTAAAATGAAATGAAACAACAAAGTAGTTATACAATTTTACTAGTTTATATTTCAATTCATAAAGTATACACACTGCAACTATGCTACCACAATGTCCACGCATCTAATATTGATGGAGTTACAGGTTTTGTTTTGTTTTGGTATTAAACAATAGAGATAATGTATGCAGTTAAGGAAAAAAGCTTGGACATAGCATGTTCTATTCTGTAGTTACAGAGTACATTAGCTAGCATTAGTACAGTAAACAAGAAAAAGGTAGAAATACAAAATAAACCAAATATCTTTATATACAAACCAGTGCCTCTTATTGTTACCAGCTTATACTCACACTGCACACAAAATTTATCCACTGATGCAATAGATACTTCAGCATAACACAAACCATTATAAATTAAAAAAAAATTACAAGGTGCAAACTCCATTCTACAGCTTTCTGGTGAGAACTCAAGACAATCCAAAGAATAAGAAATCCAAGCACGTTTAGCACCTATTAGTGCAACTGCATCGAGCGTGGAAAATGACCTACACAACCTCTGAACATGTTAACAGGGAAGCCAGTTGGACAGCTATAGATGCTCGCAGCTACACTCACGCAGTGATTTTTGCCTCATATATATCTCAGTTTATTGTTTCTTTGTCCCATTCATACCTATGTGCAAAACTAAATCCTGGAAGCTTTCTCAGAGCTTCACAGAAGGCCTGCTACAGCCAGTTAAAAACAAAACAAAACAAAACATCAACAACAACAAAACAACAAAAACAAAACAAAAACGGACAAAAAGAACAAACAAAAAGACTTAATTGTCAGACCATCCACATAATTAGTACTTATTAGCAGTTCTGGTGTTGGGGATTTTAACGCTGTTGATATGTGGATCAAACAATATGACACAGAAGTGAAACGGAAATTTGCCAAGAATTCCGATTATTCTTGTCTAGCACTTAGACAAGGCTCCCAACCTCAGGTTGTGAATTTGTTTGGCAGTCCATGCCAAAAAAAAAAAAAAGCCCAGAGTTGCATAGAATTGATTAGTAACAGAAAGAAATGCCAAACACAGAGAGATGGATGCTGCATCTAACTAAAACAAAGTGGGGTTGCTCCGACAGGAATGCTGAAATCATCATCCCCATTCATAAAGCAAAACATGTCACCTCCTACTCTCCGTATCCTACCTCTGGGGACTGCTTTCTGGCACTGATGTAGTTCTTGTTAAAGTTATCTTTTTTCTTTTTCTTTTTTTTCTTTTTTTTTTTCTTTTTTTTTTTAAACTTTGTTAGTGACACTTTTCCTTTCAAATAAAATATTAAAAAAGATTATAACTGTAAAAAAACCTATCATATGTAAACTTAACGATTAGGGTTTGGTAAGTTCTCGTACCTAGTCTGTGAAAAGCCTCCAGCCAGACCGCAGAATGGAGTGTTTCTCTGAAGAGCTTCAATCTAGCTACATCACCTGTTAAATATCAGTAGTATGAAGATCCCGTGTCTAGCAATAAAGCCATTTTTGTGTTTCCATCTTTTTTATCACTGACCTATTGAAATCCTGACATGCTGTGTTTCTATTGTATTTACATTCTGGTCCTCTCATGTCACAGAATTAAACATCTGGCCAAGGAAGGCAACAAAAGGTGTTGTGTTAAGAAGGTGTGTTTGACCAAACTGCTTTTCAACAAGTCTCTTTTCCTTGGACTCCAGTCACTGTTTTTATAGAGCTTATTGTTCTGTTGAACCACGTTTTCTTTGCAGCTTGTACTTCATTCAATGCCAGACCCAAATGGTGTTCCAAATCCTGCAAACAGAAGTGTAATTTCTTTAATTTGGTATGCATTCACAACACAAAGCTACAGGAGTTAAACTTAGAAGGCTATAGGACATCTACAATCTCTCGGCTACTGTAGAAGCTGAATGAGTCTTACATAAATTAAAAGTAATATAACCAGATTAAAAAAAAAAAAAAAAAAAAGCTTTGAAAAGCAAAACAAGCATTTGTCATTGCCCACAGTGGAACATGCAGCCTTCTTTAGTACATGTAAATCCATTAATACTTTCTATCTGAGAAGGAGGTGTTCCCACAAAAAGTGGATGTTCTACAGACTAATTTTTAAGTTTCTGTGAAGAAGCACTAACATACCAGTTTTAGGCTAAAAGAACAACATTGTCATATTTTACACTAGTACCTCAAATACCTGGAGTGCTTTTCAATCATGTTTTAAGAAATATGTCTAGCATTTGTCACATTAGCTCTTCATTTAACATTGTGAGATAAAGAAATGCATGGTTCAGTAGTTTGTCAGAACTTGGATTTTGTCCAAGAAGTTGCAGAAGGTCGGTCAGTAAGTACTGCACTGCAGCCAGGCAAATGTCTGGAAGTTGTGGTAGCTGGTAAATACAGCTCATGCAATTTCAATTATTTTATCTGCATACACCAGGTTTCAGACAATGTTTGGTTAAATAAGCCATACAGGAAACAGCAGGTTACAGTTTCAACCAAGAGGATCTATTCCAACCCCTCTCAACAAACACACTTTTCTAGGAATGCAGACATACCATACACACTACAGAATGAACCCCCAAAGTATTACCTGTATTTTACATTCTGCTTCCACAAGCTGCAATTTGGTCTGCGCCAGCTCAAGCTCCATCTCCCTCAGCTGGTTTTTCAGCATTTCCTTCTCCTCATCTGTGTCCTCATCTGAACCATCCTTGGCTGAACTAGCAACCTTCACACGGCCTTCTTTATTGAAGAACTCCCGGCAATGTTCACAGTCATCCACTTTTTGCTAAAGTAAATACCTGATTGTGAATGCTTGTACTGAAGCACTGACGATATTATCACAGCCTTTTCCTGCCTCTACTCTGGCAGAGCAGCACAATGCAAGGGACCACCAATGGCCTGCAAACTCTTAACTACCAGGGAGCACAGCCAAGTAGGTTCCAGCCATGCCCAGATCTGTGGGCTGTACAAACACTGCTGTATTTTTGGTAAAACTGGCTAAGATAGTGGGTTCTGGAAAAGATAGCCAGAGCAATCTCCTCCAATAAAAAATAAATAAAATTAAATTTAAAAAAAAGACCCCTCAGAACAATTAACATTTATTACTGCACAGCATGAAAATGTAACCAATACAGCACTGGAGAAAGATGACAGCTGTCCATCCCTCCTCCAAGATCTCCCCCTCATAATCTTATTTCCAAAACTGTAAGTCAACAATGAATGCTCTTTCAACCATCATTTTAGTAATGACAAATTATATGCTTTCTGTTTATGATTTGGCTAAAAGATTTAAACAATGCAGACTGTGGTTCTATCTGGTCTCTTACCCGTATTTTCTCAATTTCAGCTTTATTTGCTGTTTGTTGCTTTTCCAGTCGCTCACTCAGCTGAGAACAAATCTGAAAGCAAAATTATGTTACCAGATCATTTATAAATGTACATTTTCTCCAAGATGAATGCTAAAGCACAGGTAAGTGCTACAAGAATGTTAATATGGATTGTTTGAGGGCTCCGAGAAAAATCCGGAAAATTGGGATACTAGATTAAGTTGTCTCATTCTATACATATTCTCCTATGCCTATAGGAAAAGGTGCAGTTTCAACATAAGTTATTGGCCTTCTGTTTGGCCTTGCCAAAGGAATCCAAAAAGATTAGGAAAAGCATGGCTCTTCTTACTGTCTTTGGGACAAAAGGCACCAGCCAAGACACACAAACAGTACAAAGAAAAAGTCTAAAAAAATAAAAAGATGCACGAATTCACTCCCCTGATACCTGATGATCAGGTGCTTGAATTCTAAAGCAAAACCTTTGAAAAGAAAAAAAGACATCTTTTTTTTCTTCTTAACTGCAATTACCACCTGATTGAAGAAGTGAAGATTGGAGAGCTTTTATAATAAGGTACAACTTTGATATATGAGAACCAACTTGAACAATGTTAGGCTGTCACCGAGGCAGTGGTGACTGGTGATCTACAAATACCTATGTCAGGGGTAAACAGAACTGGCTATCACTATCTCAGCAAAATAAACACAAAGCAAGAGCAAGTTTCCTGCTTAAAATAGATAAAACGTCTCCTTGAATGCATGGCAAAGAAGTCTCCTAATGTGCATGAGAAAGTCTTGGGATTAGATTGCCAAACACATAATCTTTAAATTGTGCTTACCTGTTTGTAGTCACCAATAATAGAGCTGTTCTTTTTGATCTCTGACTCTGCTTTATCTAGTTCCCTACGACACATTTCCTTCAGCTGTAGGAAAAAAGGTAAAAGGTTTGTGACAAACTGAAAAAATAAATGATTGGTATTTTCTCCTTCTCCTTAACCTCAATACTTTTTGCACAGGGCAGTACTCTACAGGGAAAAAGGATCTATCTCACCTACATGGGAACAGGGAAAAGCTGGACTTTGGTGGCTCTCATTGCTAGAAAAATAACTATTTTAGAGAAGAAACTATTAAATGTACTGACAGGTGAAGTCCTATGCTTCCTCTCTGTGCAGCAATCTCTGGCACAGTCTGCGCCTTCGCAAATTCAAGTTAAAAATTCACTACTCTATGAAGCACCTGACAGGAAAGCAAAGAATTCTGCTTTGCTGACGTCCTTTACACTACAGAAGAGGCACAAACATGACTTCGAACATTACGCTCTGCCCACGCTTGTCACTTTTTTTCCCCTTCTCTCTGTACTGCACAGAAATGTGAAAATGACAGAAATGCCCCTAACCTGAGCTGATTCTTCTTCTAAGCGCCGCTTTTCTTCTTCTGCATCAATCAGCTTCTGCTTGGTCATTAGCAGTTCCTTATTCAGAGCATCTGCCTTCTCCTCCGCCTGAAACACAGAGAAGTTTACAGCACTAAAGAGATGCTTTCTTGCTGTGCTGATGCTGTGAGGCAGCCATGGGCGGAGGCTCCATTAGGGCACAACTAAGAAAACAGTCTTTTAATTCTTATTAATAAAAGTCTGTTCATTGTTACTAATAACAATAGCTGGATTATTGTGGTGTTGTTTTACTTTAATCATAAATTAATAAACATTTAATTGTAATTATTTTTCTGAAAAAGTACCATCTACAATGGCAAAGCAGCAATAAATTATAATTAACAGAGTACACCACTATACTCCATCACCCCAAAAGCCTCTCCTGAATTCTGTGATTATTTTTAGTAAAACTGGAGTAGGGCTTGCTCCAAAGAAATCCGATTACAGAATTAAGCTTTGTTTTCTCATCCAAGCTGGAAGCTGACCAATACATTTTGAAGACAATGAAAGGTACAAAACAGCTCATAATGTGCAAGATCAATAAACAACTATAATCAGCTTAGACCTAAGTTCAATTTGCAAGCATCCAAACTTGTAATGCAAACAGAATTCATGAAAAATGTCTCTATAACATTAAAGACACACCTCTCTGATGCCTACCAATGGATTTGATACCACCTTAATGTCACCCAGAAAATGCATGAAAAAATTTAGCTGCCAAAATAAATGTCAGACTCCTCTAAGAAAAGAGATGTCCCACCAGAAAGCATACATTTTTTATTTCTTAACTTTTTTTGTAATAAAGCTGTATAGCTGAAAAATCTTGTGCTCTTCATAAGTCACGCAAAACTACCTCTGCAAAGTAAGACATCTTTTTCCAGTCTTATACACGGCAGCTCAGTACTTCCCAACAGGTGTACGAATTCTACATAAAAATAGATCAATAACTCAACTGATATATAAAATGTTCAGAGAGTAGCTGTACCATTTCCTTTCAAAGGAAGAAAATCAGAAAGCGAATTTTAGTCCCTTAAAGTCCTGCTGATCCTTTAAAACAGATGGCAAAGGCAAAGAGAATATCCTTTCATTATACGTGGTTTTTAAGGCCGTTTTAAAGTTAAAGATAACTGGGATGGTGAGAGTCTAGCAACAGCAGAAAAATGAAGCCTATTTGCTGGTCTAGTGCAAAGGTTATTAAGGAAATTCTCATATTCCCAAATGCTTTGCTTTGATCTTTTAGGCTGCAAGATTTCAGAC